ATTCCAAGGCTAAAAATGAAAATTTTAATCACCTTATTTGATTGCCATTAATATTTAGAATAAACTTTACTTGTATCTTTTGTGATTTCCCCTTAAATTAATATATTGTGCATAAAGATTAATTTTATCCTACAAAATTATTAAAATATCCCCAATTGAAAACTAATTTATTTTTAATCATATTTAAAGATACATTAAAACTTCTATAGATTAATATTTGATAAATTAATAATATTGATTAAATAATATTTTTCATCGATCATGACTTTAGACCAATGTGATAATTAATAATTCGTTAAATTTTTAAGTTAATACATTTAAAAAAACATGTAAGTCCTATTTGATATATAAATTAATAATCTTTTTATATATCAAAATTATACACACACATAACTCAATTAAGAGACTTTTAAAAATTATGTGTTCAATGTTACTTGAAATTGATCTCCTTAGACCTGATCATCTCTAATTATTCTTAGTGCATTAAAAAGTTATGATATAGTGTTCAGTGCATATTTGTACTAGACGGCTTCTAGTATTAAAGTTGATGCCAAACGATTAATTTATACATAAATTAAGCAACAAAAAATGCTTAATTGGTGTATAAATTAATAAATTATTAATTTATTAATTAAAATAATTTTTTATAAATTAAAAATTGTTTATAATTTAAAAATAACAGTATTTTTTATAATTTTATAAGGTAAAATTAACAACTTAATTATTTGAATTATAAAAGTTAGCATAGGAGTCATGGGTCGATATTTTTAAGTTTTAATCTCAAAAATATTAAGACATGCTATATGATGGAGGAAGGTTTTTAAATATAAATTTAAAATTTATTTCACCTATGATATAAATGAGATTTATTTATTTTTTTTATTTTATATTTTAAAATTAAATATTTTAAAATAGACTTCTCTAAATTGGCATGGGTTAATTGGCCTAACAAAATAGAAGGGAAGGCAGGCATGAACCTAAACAAGAAAACAGCCAAATACAGAAAGTAATTGATGAGTAAAGGACAAAAACAGAAAGACAAGTTTAATATGAAAAAACAATATGAGCAGATTTAAAATGCCTAAGAGCAAGCCTCGAGATCCGGACCTAACCCCATCTAATCCCGACACTATAAGTAAGATCAAATACCATCAGGACACGAAAACATTTACTGCAGCAACAAGTCTTAGGTTCCCGTACCCATGGGGAGCCAACAGAAAGATGCCACCTCCTCTTCTTCTTGCTTCTCTCATTTCTGCTCCTCCGCTCTTAGGGCCAAAACTCTGAACCCCTCCTTCGGCCGTGCTACCTCTAGTGGCGATGGCCTCATCCGCCGCCTCGGCATCCTCGATCTTCTTCTCCTCGGCGTCGGTGCATCTATCGGCGCCGGCATCTTCGTTGTCACCGGTACCGTCGCTCGCGATGCCGGCCCCGGTCCGTGTCAATTCTCTCTCTTCCTCTTTTTCTTTTTCTCTCTTGAGTTCCTGGATTTCATTTCTGAATTGAATTTCTGAGTGATTTCGTTTCTGTTATAGGAGTGACGATAAGTTTCATACTCGCGGGAGCTTCGTGTGTGTTGAACGCGCTGTGTTACGCGGAGCTAGCGTCGCGGTTTCCGGCCGTAGTCGGAGGCGCTTATTTGTATGCGTATACAGCGTTCAATGAAATCACAGCATTTCTTGTGTTCATGCAGTTGATGTTGGATTATCATATCGGGGCAGCTAGTATTGCGCGTAGCTTGGCGAGCTACGTGGCTACGGCTTTCGAGCTCATTCCTGCTTTGAAAGGAAATATACCGGCCTGGATTGGTCACGGTGGCGAAGAATTCTTTGGAGGAACTCTGTCTATTAATATTTTGGCTCCGATTCTTCTTGCCCTTGTGACTGTTGTTCTCTGTAGGGGTGTTGGAGAATCTTCTGCTGTTAATTCTTTCATGACTGCAACCAAGGTACTCTCTTTTTCAAGGGTTGGTTTGGTTTTTCCTTCTGGGAGTAACAAAGATCATATTCGGAAACAAAAAAGCAAATAAGATCTGTGAATAATTAAAAGTTAACAGTTTGACCTTTGTGAGTAACAACATAAATACCAACTTTTGAGAAAGTAACTATAGTGAAAGCAACAACTAGAGAAGGTCTTACTTAAAGAAGGAATTCGGTGAATTGGGGTTAACTTTTTTTTTTCCATATAAACTGTGTTGCAGATTGTCATTGTTATTTTTGTCATCATTGCTGGTGCTTTCGAGGTTGATGTAGATAATTGGTCTCCTTTTGCTCCCAATGGTTTTAAAGAAATATTAACGGGAGCAACTGTAGTATTCTTTGCATATGTTGGATTTGATGCGGTTGCTAATTCTGCTGAAGAATCAAAGAGGCCTCAGGTATTCTTATTTTGAGATCGACTCCATGCCTCATGCTGCGAAGCGTGTAATTTATAGTACAAGCATTTATTTTGTATTCTAATTCTATACAGTGTCTGCATGTTATCTATTAGTTTCTTTCTTTTATATTTCCCCTGTTTAAATTTCGATATTTCAGAGGGATTTGCCAATAGGAATCTTGGGAAGTCTGCTTATATGTGTTGCATTATATATTGGTGTTTGCTTGGTGATCACTGGGATGGTACCTTACAATCTCCTGGGAGAAGATGCTCCTTTGGCTGAAGCTTTCACATCCAAGGGTTTGAAATATGTTTCCATTTTAATCAGCGTTGGAGCTATTGCTGGGCTTACAACAACCCTTCTAGTTGGTCTTTATGTCCAGGTTAACTAACTTAGAATTTCTAGTTTTTGTTATGCCCTTATCGAGTAACATGTTCCCAGTGTACATAATGGAATGTTTCTCTGAGCAGTCTCGTTTATATCTTGGGCTTGGAAGGGATGGCTTGCTGCCTTCTTTATTTGCTAAAGTGCACCCAAAACGTCACACACCTATTCATTCTCAAATCTGGGTCGGTATCATTGCTGCTGTTTTGGGAGGACTGTTTAACGTGCACATCCTATCGCACATTCTTTCAGTTGGTTCACTGGTATGTTGTTGCCTTTTTTTTCTTGAGAAGGTCATTGCCCAATATTTTTTTTCATCATATATATGGTTATTAAATTCTCCCAAACTATAATGCCATTTACTTCGAAGTAAGTGGACACCGAATGTGCATGACTCACAAATTTGGAAGATGTACCGTGCTTCAGCATATGGTGTATTTCCTTCTGTCATGTTTAGGTTATCAAAATAGTCTATTTTCAGCTCTGGATGGAAGCAGATATCTATCTTCAGAACTTATTACTTACTAATAACCTATCATATTAATGTGCCTACCTTGGTTTCTATCACAACATGCAGTAACTTATAGAAAAGCCTGTATTGGGTGCTATGTTGTATGGTTGTGAGGTCAGAGGAAATTATTTTGCATAAAATAAGTTGATGTTTTGGAAAGACAGATTGGTTTAACTTGTGCATGATTGCAAAGGATATGCACCTCATATTACACTTTGGTTTGTTTCAGACAGGCTATTCTGTTGTTGCAGCATGCGTTGTAACTCTTCGCTGGAAAAATAAAACAGGAAATCAAGCTTCTTCAAAATGTATGTCAACCTGGTGTGAAGGTGTCATATGCATCGTCCTAGTGGCATGCTGTGGTTTTGCTACTGGAGTTCTTTACCGTTATGGTGCTTCATTTATTTTTATGATTGTTGCGGTGGTGGTAGCCGTACTTGCTTGTGCTGCTCTTTGCTACCGTCAGGTGATTGAATTTATCAATATATAATTTTGTTTTTTCTACCATTCCTTATTAATGGCAGGAAAGGAGGGTCTTTTAGGTATTATTCATGTACATGTGTCTTAATGGTGTTAGTGGAATGGTTTTTTGAATTTGGCTTTAAACAACCTTCTAAATATGGAAAACAAGTCCTTTTGCAACTGCTTTAGATTGATGCAGTTTTGCCTATTTACAGTGCAGACTTTTACTTTCTGATTGATGTAACATGGCAACTGTATCTGTAAACACCTCTTAAATAAGATTTATTGAACTCCTTAATGTCCTTTTCTCAGGCTTATTCAGATCCTCCGGGCTTCTCTTGTCCCGGGGTTCCCATTGTGCCATCTGTTTGCATTTTTTTCAACATCTTCCTGTTTGCTCAGGTATGCTTGCGAAAAGCCCCTATTACTCTCCTTTGGAATTACTGCATTAATTTTGTGAAAGCAATTGACAAAGGAAATAAGACTTGACAAATTTATAGACCAATGCTGCACAGTGTTAATTAACTATTTTTTTGTTTGTTCTTTTGCACAGTTGCACTATGAAGCATGGATCAGGTTTGTCATCCTCAGCATAATATCTGTTGGTATTTATGCATTTTATGGACAGTATCATGCTAATCCAAGTTCAGATGAGACAATTATTTATCATATGGCACCCGAAGAAGATGCACACTAGTTACATGTTGAGACTACGTATGCTTCTCAGTATGGCTTGCAGTTTATTGTTTTATTATTGCATTGATCTTGCAATAAGAGTATTTGCGCATCATATGAATCATAAGACGCTTAATAGTTGAAATACTCTGGATCAAGCCATTCAGTTAGAGAAGTTGAATAATAGGTTTGTAGATATTGAATTCTCTTCAACAATTCTTGGCTTCAAGCTGCTTTCCAATGAACAGAGAATGTTGTCCCAGTGGTGTTCTCCGCAGTGTAGTCTTAATTTCTTGTCACGTGGGTAGGTTTTCCATAAGCTGCCGTTTTCACAGCAGCACAGGGTTCTCATAGGTTGAAGTGAAGTGTACCATATGGGTCATTGACTTTTTGTAGTGTTTCCATCGAAAATTATTTCTATATTTATTTTATGTTGGCCGTGAAGAAAATTTTCTTCATAGAAATGGTGTCCTGTGCTAATGCAAACTGATTACCCAAAGTAAATACAAAAATACACAGGTGACAACCATCACTCTGATAGCATCAAGGAATTAGACATCCATCCCGACCAATGTTCAAGCATCACTGATAAACCACAGGTGGACTCTCTCTTTCTCTCCCCCGCTCTTATTTGCCAAAGGGCTACAGTTGCAGCTCCTGTTCTCTGATAACAGTCAGTCCCACTGTAGGGGCAGATGCTGGCCTGATCTTAATGCAGACATCCATGCATCCCTACTAATTTTCAAGCATCACTGATAAACCATAGTTGGGCTCTCTCTCCCCCTCTCTATTTTCCCGGAGGACTATAGTCACAGCTCCTGTTCCCTGATAACTGTCAGTCCCTTCGTGGGGATATATACCGGCCTGATCTTAATCCAGACAATTCAATGATTTCCAAATGTGTTCTTTTTAGTTCATCTTCGCAAGTCACATTTGAACACAAGCAAGGCAATTAGTTCTTGAAAAAGAATCAGATACATTACATAACTTTTCAAGTGAGGCCTGTTTCAAGGACAAGGAACAAAGACTCTGATTTTCCAAAATTTTCCCATCACTCAATTGCATACAAAATCAGAATAAAAAGCTATGGTTCTCCTTTGACAGTTCTGTATGCTGAGTAATTCTATGTCAAAGACTTCGAACTGTTTTGAGCTGAAAAATGTCGAAGGTCCTACCTGAAGAGGACAACATAATTTCCACTTAATCAAGTTAATCCAAGTCGATTTATCAGAAATATGAAAGAAGAAAAAAAGGGTTAACCCAAGTCCATTGCAGTGTGACAGAACAGGGAATATGACATGGGAAATAAGCAGTATAGTATGAATGATAATAGTTTTCACAACAGAGAATATTGTGACTCTATCGTGTTTAGACAATCAATTGCTGGTTGAGGTGCAGTTAATCAATATCAAGAAGCATCATATTGTATCTTAATCAAAGTTAAATTAAGAGTTGAGGAAATCGTTCTCCTTTTCTTTTCCATATCTAGACAAGTGATTCCTTGAAATTTCTATTATTCAACCAACAAATTTACTTCCATCTCTGTCCTGAACCAAGTGCAGAAGGATGTTGAATGAAAAATTTTGCTACTGGTCTGAAGTTATGGTAATATTAGAAACACCAACAAAACCTGAAAAACAAAAAAAAGATGATGCTAAAACAAACAGAAACAAGCTACAGGAATCACTAACCGGTGGTCCAAGTTCTGGGGGAATGATTATCCTTCTCTTCCCCCCTGGCCTCATGTCCTTAATTCCTTCCTCAAATCCTGCATATATGATCTAGGTCAGTCATTTCTTCACATATTTCATCATATGGTTTATTGTTTATGTTTTGTAGGGGGAGAAAACAGAAGGGAAGATGGGAGAACTTCCAGTATCAGATAGCCATTAAGCAATGAATGCCTGATTTATAATCTATTCACCTGGAACCACTGCATTAGTTCCCATGCGGATTCTGGCAGGAGCACCTTGTATATAGGTGCTATCAATGCGCCGGCCTGACTCATTATAACCAATATAGTGAAAAGTGACCTGAAATTTTTTTCTAGTTAGGAGGAGGCATAAATGGATATAGCAGTAATATCTCTATTTCTCATTTTCTATAGCTGTAATGGTTAGCAAAGCAAACTTATAGAGTAAGACTCTCATATAATATCTCAATTTCATAACTTTTATGCTATATGATTTGGAGGTAAATTGTCTGATTGCAATTTAATCAATTTAAGCTCAGGAAATCCTATATTAGGGACAGATTTTTATGCCTCTAACTAGGTTTATTATTGTCTTTGAATTCTAAGCAATAAGGTGTGATGGATTAAATTATCCTAAATGATACAGCCAGAAAAGATTCTCTGATCAGCAAAAGGAAGCCACTGTGACTTTATCGTGTTTTTGGAGAGAAGAATGCTGAGACAGGAAGCTTTCTATTAATGATACAAGATTACCACAAATGCACCCAAGATAAATCATGTTGAGGTTGATACCAATTCCATCAAATGGTAAAAACTAAACGTAATACCTTACAACAAATAATTTCCTTTGTGTATTTTGAAAAAATGTCAAACATGTTTCACAAATTGCACTCATTTTCCCGAAATAACTTATGTATTGCTTTTTTTTCTTAACACTACTAAGAACCCATAGCAAAAGGTAATGACCAGATGGTTCAAAGACAATGAAAGAAAAAACCTGTTGACCAGCCTTTGGGCAATCACCTTTACCAACTTCATAATCCCGGTATATAAGCCCTGAATCACTCTTTTTGTAATCCTCTGAAGCTACAACCTTAACCTCAAAACCTGAATCAAATGTTTAAAATTTAGTGGTGGTTAGAGGAATTTATAGAAGGTTTACAATGACTAAAAGTCAGAAATCTCTTTCTCCTTCCCTCCTTGGCTCCCTAAGAGAGAAAGAGAGAATGATAGATGAAGTAAAAATCACAAATATGCTGATCAGAATGCTTATTTGGGTTCAGAATGGGTATAATACTTGTAGATGGAGTACATTCTGCTAGACATTGCTAGACTGTCTGACTTTCTATCATTGCAACACAAACCTTCTCTGATGAAATTTGGGAAGTCTCCAGGAGCATTGTTCTCTTTCTGTCTCCTTTTATTCTGTTCTAGCAAGCGTTTTTCATCATAGGGGTTCTTACTCTTGGTCTTTCCAGAAGAAGACAAAGTTGGAGACAGGCCTGATGAGATCAAAAGGAAAAGAAGAAACCTACGACTCGAGTTTCCCTCCTGGTGTGATACATATCTGTTCTGCACTCTGGCCGTGAACATGAAGGTAAGGACCTAAGCAATCTTTAAAATACAGGAAACAAGGAGATTATAACAAAGGCTCACCCGTTCTCTTTCAAGCTGTGACTCAAGCAGCAAAATGCATTTTTCTTCCTTTGAGAGGAGAAAATTCCTCCCCTGGAATATGCTGAAATGTCGGATGTCAAAAGTATGAACAAGATATACTAATATTTTAAGAGGTACACATGTAAGTTCATTGTTTGATTGAGAAAAGTAATGCTTGAAAGATGCAACAAGAACCAAGAGTTGTCAAAACCCAATGTAGTTCACAGTTCAAAAGATCAAACGGAACTGAAGAGGTTCAAATAGGCACCACCAGAAACTAGTAATAAACTAAATAAACAAGGATTTCATGTCAATAAACACAGTGATGATGAATTGACCATATACTTGTGCGTCAGGCAAACATTCTGATTGTCAAAAGGTTAATCAAAGTGCATTGATAGTCTAAGCACTATGGAATAAAGTACAAGAAGTAATGAAAAATCCTATGGCATCAAACGAGAAAGCCAAAAGCTGACGGTAAATGTCCTTGCTTGCCTCTTCTTAATTCTATGGAAGTTACCTAACTAAGGTTCCTGTTAAAAGTTGCTTCTGCAGAGGTACGTTAAGTCGTTAAGTTGTTACCAACAGAGACACAGATTTGCTTTCTATAATTCTAGAATCACTTCAGGGGTCAAGTATTTTCCACTTAACTAGCCACCCAAGTTCTTCTTATCCCAGTCAAGGGGAGAGTAAGAATTGAGAGTGAAGGAGAAGAAATTTCAAAGAGCAAATTCGAGACACCCAGAAATGGAAAGCAAAATCTCTGTTCGAAGAACAACAAAGTGTTGAATCCCATGGTTATGGAGATATGCAAGTGTAAATGTATGACAGAGGAAAAGAGACTTACAGAGAAACGATGGCTCAGACAGAAGGGGAGTTGAGAGAATCATGGGCATGGCTTCTTTTCCAGGCCGGAATAGCCGTTTCCAGTTTGCTCGTGTTATCCTCAGTTGCGGGTAAGTTGTCTAAATATCACAACACCCCCTGCCGTTTCTTAATATTTCCCTTATTTCCCCAAAAGGTTTATTGCATGTTCAATTTAGTACGTTTCTCTTGTTCTATCCTTTTCCACTGTGAAATATGAATCTTTTTAATAAGACATTTTGAGTTTGGTTCTCCATGTTTAATCAATCAACTGAGTTCACCAAATATATTTCGGGCACATTCAAAGTATTGATCATATACAATTAGACACGACACCAAGGAAAGCAACTTCTTTTTATTCGTCTCTAACAAAGGGTATGTGTTATAATTTTCAACTTATAAATTCATCCCATTTCTTATTAATTGCTCAACTTTCTTGTAACCATAACTCTTTTACCCATAAAAGAAAAAAACCTATCTTAATTTAGACATACCTTGACCTTAACATCTCTCGTGATGGTTCAATATCGGTAAAAATTTAAATAATTTTTTATATTGATTGTTAGGAACCCATATTTTTAATTAAAAAATTATATCTATTAAGAAAAATAACACTTTAATTTATAAATCTAAAATTCATCTTTATCTCACACTGACGTGACATTGAAGGAATGCTCCATCATGATTTTTTCAGTGAGCTATCTTTCAAGAAGAAACAAATACTGTCATTTTTCCCCGAGACCGGTTTTCAGAACACCTTGTATATCATAGGAAACTGTACACAGGTATGCATATGACAAATTGGTATTTCCTTGTACACAGGTATGCATATGCTGGGAGATAAGCAGATCGATAAATATGACAACATTTTGCAGAAACATCTCACATTTTGATCCATGTTCAAACTTAGGAAGTGTTTCCCCACCTAAACAACTAAAACTTGCAGTACTATTGAAACTTACCATGAAATGCCACGCCTACCAATGTACACATGCTTCCTCAATCTCTATGCTTCTGGAAAGATACGAAAACTAAACTCGCTCTCTATACGTTTACCTCTCACTTGAGTTAACCAGGAATGAGTATACACTGCATTCTCCGCCTGACCCAACCAAAAATGAAATAACACAAAAACACCACGTGCTTTCTGAAAACAATGGGAAGTTGACAAAAAAAAAAAACAAGCTCAAATTAACATCAATGAATCAATAAACCCGGATGTCGATACCAAGACTGCTCAAAGGACCAGGCTTCCTTGATGTCTTCTGATCTGCATGGCAACGAAGCCATAGGCATGAAAGTCTGGCAATAGCTGCCTGACCAGCAAATTGAAACCTGCCAGCCAGGCTTCCCTCTCCCAACATCTCTTTTGCTGACACGCCTGCATCAAAGCTAGCATCATATCCATCAAGGTCTAACTTTGTTACAACAACTACAGAGCCATCATCAAAGGCTGCCGTATCCTGTTTTGCTGGAAGAACTAGGGTTTTCTTCACTATCATGCGGCAAGAGTTTCCAGGTATCCCATTATTTTTAATCTTGCGAAGATAGTAGTCTTGAACAGCCTATATCAACGGATTAAGATGATATGAGACTGACAAGAGCATAACCATTCATATCACAAGAAGTACTAAAAATTATCTGCCAAATCAACAAGAATAAAACAAGAGTAAAATAACACCCATTAAGGCGTACCTGCCGCTGTGCAGACGCCAGAAGTACCCTAGGTCTGATAGATCTGACATATTCGTAAGCTGCATCAGGTGTCATATGCCTATGTTCCACCTGTTATAATTAAAAAAGGATAAGACTGCTTCCTAAAGTCAGTTGGATACTCAATTAATTTTGATCATTGCATACCAAGTAGCAGAGAACAATAGTTGTGCTGCGGCCTCGACCAGCCTTGCAGTGAACATATGTGGTCTTTCCAAGAGATGCATTATCTTCATAAAGCACCCAAAAGGAAACCAAATAAGTAAATGTGAAGCCAAAAAATTTATATACTTGACTAACAATAAAGACAAACCGCAGACGATACATACTGCGTATGAAGTCTACAGCTTGGCATATGTCAGCAAATGAAGGAGCAAAAAGATAGTCCCTTGTAGGTATCACCAGATGATCAATGTTGTGAGCCTAGCAATGCAAAAGAACAAAAACCATGAATATTTGAGCTTTGAGGGTTATGTGTGATTGGATAAAAAAATACTAATATTATTTTTCTGATAGAAGGTGTATGCAGCATTTCTAAATTTTTTTTCTCATGAATAAAACTTGAAGAAAATTTTCCATGCATTCTTTGGTTCATATCATAGCTAAAAAATGCACTGAGTACCTTCAAAGCATAGATGAAAAGGTTCAAGTTTAAAGCACTTTGGCTTCCACATCTAAATTCTTAACTCATTTAAAGATAGCTCGAATTATGTAACTTTTCAAGGCAACTAGGTACATTTTTCATGAAACCACCACTTTCTAAAATTTTCTGATTATTTATTTCAACATATATTCCATATTTACAGAATTAGCATAGACAACATAACATGAAATCAGCAAAGAGCATACTTACATAATATAGTGATGTTGGGACCAAAGTCTCGTATGGTTCATTTAAGGTCACAACTCCAGAGACACCAAGTTCCTTTAAGCGGGGCACATCAGTAGGGAAAGGCACGGCACCCAACAAAATAAACTGAAACCAAGGCAAAGTGAGCTAAAGAAAACAATTTAACAGATAAAGCACTATGAACAACAACATGCATCATCGGCATGATTAACAATCAAGAGAAATATTGCTCCATCTGTCAGAGCTTGAAAATCAAACTACTAGGCTGACCTCAAAGTTTAGACGGTGAGATTCTAAAGACATTGAAGCATGACTTCTAAATGGTCAATTAAATATCAAATTAATGATGGGATCTAAATTTGTAAAAGATATCATAAGCAGAATTGCAACAAAAACAGAATATTAAGATCGAAATCCCTCCTCCCCAATCCCCCCTCCCTTCCCTTGCCCAATAGCTACATAATATTGCAACAATAAAATCACCTTTACAATTCATAGTTTTAAGGCATAATTCATTATAATAATATGTCAAATTCAAACATAAAAGGGAAAAACATTCCAGCAAAAGATAATTGCATAAAGAAAAGGCAAATGAGTTAGTGATATACCTCATCAACCCTATCCCACCATCTAAACTCCGACTGAATCTTGTTCCTGACAACATTGTAGAACAAAGTTGGATAAAAAAGTGCACGTGCTCCTGCTCCTACCAAAACCCTTTTTGCATCCCAAACAACCAGGCTCTCTCCACACAATTTACTCAGATCTTCATCCTGCTGCTCCCCTTCCTTCAATTCCTCAATATACATCGCTTTTCTCTCAATTAATTCCCCAGAACACACAGCAAATAAAAAAAAACAAAAATTTCCCTTAAACCCTTAAAATAAACAAAATAAAACTCAAATCAACAGAGGAAAAAAAAGTACCCTTTAATCTCAATTACCCAAAACTGAAGTCTACAACAAGAATAACATGCAAATCAACGAAAAAGAAGAATGCCCATCAACTAAAACAGATGAAGACTGAAATCAGACAACGAAAATTGAAACCTTGACAACAAGAATTCTGACTATGAACAGTTGAGAACATGTTTGACATTGAAACATGCATGATCTGGATCATATTTGAAGATAAAATAACCAAAAAAAAGAGAAAAAGAAAAAGAAAGAGATAAACTTTTAGGGGAGGTAAAGAAAAGAAAGGAGAGATTGCGAAGACAACAAAAACCCGAAATGGAAGGATTTAAAAGACAAAGCTTTAATTTTGGCCCTTTCCTTGCAGAGTCAGTTTCTCTGTTTTCTCGCTTTCCCTATCTTCAACAACTTCAGAGAAAAGGAAATTAAGTAATTTATATTTCTCCAGGTAGATAATTTTCGACCCTCCCCTAATCAGGAAAACTTAGCGGTAATAAAATCCAACGTCGGTTACCAAAACGATGACGTTTTAGATTTTCTTTTTAAAAAATACATCTTATTATATAGTCAAGCTCGTGATGCTAGATTTTTTTAAAAAAAATTTCTAATTTCATGATAATTATATTGATGACAAAATCAATGATGTTACCAAAATAAAATTGATATGCCATGTGACAATTGAACAAATAAATTATGTATACGGATGATCATCAGTTGATTCCAACTCGATAAATTGATGGAAATTGATTAAATTTGATTTATTCGATATTAATTTTATTTGATTTTTTGATTTATAATTGAATGGATAGAAAAAATGATATTTTTTATGTATGATGTACTTTTCTATACAAGTCATTGTGTATATTAAAGTTTATTTTTATTTTTAAATGTTAAATGCATGTAATGAGTCAAAATAAATATCTTATACTTTTATTTTAAATTTTTAGTCATGACAAGACGACAATGTATAATGTGAAAACTCTATTGAGTCAAAGATAATATTATTTTCTATAATGTTGTTTCAAACAAATAACATCATGCAATTATCAAAGTAGTGGTCGGTTTGAATATATGTTTTTATTTAATATTTGGTGGTAGTTGGTTTGAATTTATAATAATAGATTACATTGTTGGTAAAAGAATTTTTAATATTTTGTTAGAACCATGAGGCCAAAAAAGATTTGCCCATGGTTATAAGATCTTGACAATGGCTGGAGCATTGGAAACCCACAAATCAATGAAAGGTTCTGGTTAGGGTCATCGGTGAGTTTTTCAGTTCATCTTCGCCTTTGCTACCGTGCATGCCTCTATCTATGGAGATGCTTGTTACGTTGAACTAGTAGGAAGAATCAATTCCTAACTGCCCCAAACTGTTTGAATTCATAGAAAGAATTAGATAAGACATGCAAAATCCCAGATTCATGTGTTTTTGTACAAAAATTCGACTCTGTTGAAAGCTTGACAAGAGAAATCTGAAGGAGATGCATATCTCAAAGCTACGCAGATATATAACTGTTAACCACAAAGTCATAATTCTCAGGCTTATTGATTGACATATGTTTATGGTCATCAATCTCATATCAATCCATAAATCAAAAGGAAATATCAAGATTCAAGAGGCTGATGAAGCAAAAGTCAATGAATTTTGCAGCTTTTGAACTAATAATTCAAAACATGTTGTCACCATTGAATACGGTTCTGCAGAAACTTGATTCTAGTAGTAATAAGTTAAAAAAAAATCCTATTTTCAACTGTGTATTGTAAAGTAGGCAAGACAGAATGACAAACAAGAGGAAGGCCACTATGCCAGGACCATAAGGATGAAGAATTCTCAACTTCCAAATAATCATTGTACCCTTATGTTAGAAATTTATAGCTGTATATTGCAGCTATTTTCACCTAAAAATGTTACCAGCGATGTTGAGCCCTCTTGGTGTATCAATTGATGTCGTTCTCTGAAGCCTAATCTGCTCTTTGAACTTTGCTATGAACTCACCAGCCTTCCTGTCAACCTCATAAGTATCACTTCCTGCTGCACAGAAGGTTCCAGACATGGTTTCGTCATCTGAGCTTACTTGAATATCCTCATTCTCTCTCTCTGAGTCTTCTCCAAACTCTACAGCAGCATGCTCAGAACATTCTTGTTTTTCTTTGTTCTGGTTTTTGAGAGATATTGGCTTTGGCATATAACAGTCACCTCCAAGATTTTGCCCGTTGAACCCAACTGAGTGATTATTAAGCCCTCCAATATTTGGTTCACTTTTGTCCGCGTAAGCCTCTTCAACTTCATCAGATGCCACTGCCAACTTTCCCTTTAAATGATTTTCATTCTTCTCTCCAGCCTCTCTTGCCCCTACGGTATTGCCATTAGCTCTAAAAGTCCTAAAAGTCCTAACTGACTTTCCTCTTGAGGAAGCCTTAGAAGGAGCTGCGGGATTTGCCTCAAATTTGAAGGAACCTGAAATCCACTGTTTACTACATGATGAATCATCTTTTCTGCTGTCACAGAATTCCTTCAACTCATCCTCAAAGCATTTCCTTGCATGGATCGCCAACAAGGAGCCATCACTATACTGCCGAGAATGTGATGCAGTCACTGAAGCTTTGCTACTCATGGGTTTTGGTATTGATGATGAAGTAGTAGGAGGAAAAGACCCGCGAGGACTCCTTTCCTTCACCAATTCACTCATATTGGACTTTGGTGATTCTGAAGAATTGGAGTGTGAGGGTGACAGGCTACTCGGTGAATGTGAATGTGAACCAACTTGTGAAGAGAATGAAACTGTGGATCTTAAAGATCGTGATTTGAGTGAGTCAAATTGAGTTTCATCAACTGAGAGAGGCCTAAAATGAGAAGGACGAGTGGCACCGCCCCGAACTCTCTCTCTCATCCTTCCAGATCTCGCACGCCAAGGAATGGGGGAACCTAAAACATGACTCTCACTAAACTTCCCCTCCAAATTTTCAGAACCTAAATCATCAAACGTCTCACTTCTCCACTTATCAGAACTATGCGACAAATCCTTCACGCTTGTACCAGAAGACTCGCTTGATCCATTCCCAAATTCAGGACTACCCCGACTTCCAACTCTGGATTTTAAGCTCCTAACAGGCAACCCCAAAGGTTTATAGTCAGTATTGGAACCTGATTCACCATACTTTTCAATACCACAATTTGGTTGAGCCAACACAACAATGGGTTCCCTTTGAATACACTTAGAACTCCAAGCTTGAACAACATTTTCCTCATAAGGGTTTTCAAAGCTACCATTTTTAGCATTAAAAAATCCATCTTTACCCTGCCCACTATAGTACATCGAGTGATCAAAACCATCTTCAAAAATAGGAGAAAGATGGAACATTCCAGGAACATTAGACTGAGAATCATCAAGATTACCATTATCAACATTCCTACGACCAAACAAACCATAAGAAACAGCAATGCCGATGAACATAAGATGGAGTAGTTCCCAAAACTTGTTGAGTATCGTTCGGTTGACGAAATCTGGAGCTTGGGAAGGGAACAATGGGATTGCAATGAGAAAGAAAGTAAAAAACAACTTACCAGCAAAGCGCGTGTAATTATTAGTACTGTTTCTGTATCTGCTGTTGTCTCTTGTGACGGGTCTGGTTGTAAAGTGAGGGTATGAATTTGCCATTGATGAAGAAAATGCTTACAAGCTTCTCTGCTTCGGCCGCTAAGCTTGCTTTGTTAGGTTTTTTTCCTTTCCGGTGAATGAGAAAATGGGGGAAACACGAGGAGATAAAATGATAATGATTGATTGAAGAAAGGAAGACTTTGAAAGCAAGGAAAATAGTTTGGTTACGAATAGAGTAAAGTTGGAAAGAGAGGGAGCAGAATTCAAAAGTATGATTATTGTAATAATTGTCACGACCGTTGAATTAAATGACCGAATTGACCTTCCACAGGCATGACGCTGTCGCTGTCGCTGCGCGTTTGGTGGGAAAAACTTAAAAACGGTTTGCCCTTCTGGGTCAAGGGCCTGGAACGACACCGTTGGGAGGGAAAAAAACTTTTTTCCGGGAAAGTTTTTAGTTTGGCAGAGACCTTGGATCAGAGAAAGTGAGGGAAGCAGCGATGGCAGGAACAGAGAAATTTGTGGAAGCTGATAATGCAGAGGCTATAATAACAAGAATCGAGCACAAATCTAGGAAGATCGAGAGCTTACTTAAACAGTAAGAATTTCTAATCGGATCAAATCCCTCTTTCTTTTTTAAAGAAGAAACCCTAATTGAGCAAGGATTGATTTGTTCTTCCCTCAGGAATAAGCCCGTTGAAGCTCTTAAAACAGCGCTGGAGGGCTCTCCTCCTATGACTCGAGACGAGCGATGCAAGGTCTCGAACCCAAAAACAAAATGGAAATTTTTTGTTCAATTTCTTTTTATTTAATTATAAAAAAGAACTAAACTTTTCTTGTTTTGGATTCTGGGTATTGTAGTCGGCGAATTGGATAGTGGTGCATAGAGCTCTAATGGCTATAAAAGATGTCGACGGAATGTTCTCTTCTTTGGATCCTGAGTACTATGATATTCTTATGAAGTAAGTCTTTCTTTTCATTTATTTTGTTTGTATTGTATCTCTAAATTAGGAACTAGAAATTATGGCATGTTAATGTTATTACCAATTATACATGATTTTGCTGATCTCTACCCAAATGATTACTACTATTTTTTATTTCCTCTTTGTAACTTTATGTTATTGTCATTCTTATTGCTGATGATATGAGTCCAATTTCCTACCCTTGAGCTTTTTAGATGTGCTAGCTGAATTTTGAGAATTTCCATGGTCGGCATTGGAGTTATGGTTTTACACTTTTGCTAATTGAACTGATAACAAGTTTGATAGTAAACGCTGTTACTTGGTTCATAAGGGATTTTGCAAATGACAGAATTGCTTTCTGACCATTTCAAAGGATATCAGGTTTTAAGCATTTCGTTCTGTTGGAGTTCGGTCCTTGTAGTGAACTTGGAGTATTGGTAACAAGAGATCTGAATTTGGCTGGAATGTTAGGAACTCTGGAGGTTGAGTGACAATCTGAGTTGGTTTATGCAGGATTTTGTGTGATGGTTTTTTGAGCTTCTGGCCCAATGGTTACCCTTTAATTGGAGGTCTCTTTATGGTTTGTTAGAGAAGAATTGGAGCTAGCTGATCTGCTAAGCATTGGATTATTGAGAAGTAATGCGTATTCACTATTGATTAATGGCAAAGGAATGTCTACATGTACCTGCAGCTGATGAGTTTATATTTTGTAACCAACTGTACCTGTTATTTTTTATAGACTGACTAATTAGAATACAATTAGAATGTGAATCCTTCACTAGGTTGTAAAGTCCCACTGCTGAAAATGGCCTAATGAAATGTTATTGTTCTGGGGAAATAAATTGCTTTCATTTTGGATGCATGCTCAGTTGTTCTATATTTGATTTTGCTAATAAATAACAAGTGATGATTGTTATATGCTCTCCAGGTACTTGTATAGAGGATTGTCAACCGGAGATCGCCCCACATGTGATCAGTGTCTTAGGATTCATGAGAAGCTTACAGAGAGAGCTGGTTTGGGATGCATACTTCGTTCACTTGCTGACACTGTGAATGCAGTTTGACTCTATATCAGTCCTTTCCTTCTAAAAATATTGTATTCTAGAAATATTTGTCATTTTCCTCTAATTCTTACACATATATGTCAAATGCAGATTTTTTCTTTTCAGGGCTGCAATTATAAATTTTTGTTGAACAGAAATGTGCGAAAACTTTTTAAGTTATTGAAACTGTTTATTGCTTCAGAAGTTTTTGTGAGAGCCTTCCCCCCTGCTTCATAGTTCCTGAACAAATTGAAGAATGCTTAGAGATTGTGAGCTATAGGTTACAATAATACATACATCTGGCTGTTCTACTTGGCAAGTTAGGTAATTGAAGGGACATTGATTGCTAGGAAATTGGAAGAAAAGAGAGTTTGAGATACAAACAAACGAAAATCCTCCACTGACTCAAACTTTTAGATGTCTATTACTGATACAGTCTCAGGCAAGAGTGTGTTCTCTGTTTTTATCTTAATGTCCTGTTTCTTATCTGGTTTTTTCCCTTGGTAAGTCTTTGTTCGTTTCTTGCTTGTTCTTGTTCCCTATGGATATTTTTTTAGGCATGCTAGAATGTGCTAAACAAGCTGACAAATCAACCAAAAATGCATGTATAGAACTAGGAAGGTTTAGCTTAGCTAAAGTAGAGAAAGTAGAGTGGGAAGACTTATCTACGACTTAATTATTGTTTGTAGGACTTAATTATGAGAAAAGTAGTTGCTCAATGTTGAAACTAAGTGTATTATTGACGACTTTCATCCCTAATGCAGTTATTATTGTATTGAATGCTTCTGATGTCCAATTATCGGGTGCCTACAAACACTTGTTAAAATTTAATAGTACATTTAATTCGTGGAATAACATAATTATTATGTGAAAAAGAATAAGGTATGAATAGAATGAGAATGTTATTATATAGTTTAGTTGACAAAATGAAATAAGGTAGGAATTGTTATGTTTTATTGCAATGTATGGGTAGTAAAAATAATTTTTAAATTTTAAATATTAATTTTTTACAATATATAATTAAAAACTTAAACATTTTATTTTTATTTTTTTTCCATTTTCACTTGTAAGGGGTATTTTTGTCTTATTAATTTTAGATTTTTTTTTTTTGAATGAAGACTATTATTTATTAGCTTGATAAGTTGAGTTCAGCTACATGGTGTAATAGAAAAGAATTAATCTCTGAAGCAGGAACATCAAATAACATAAAATTATCCTTGTGTTATCTTGTACAGTCTGCAACTATGTTTCCTTCACAAAAGATGTGTTTAATTTCTATGATTCACTGTTTCAGAAGCAATCTCCTAATCGCCTGAATTAGATTATAATTATGGCTGATGCCTGTTGATGCTGGATTTATACCTTTCATGACTGTGCTATTGTCAATTTGCAAGTCAATTCTTCTATGCCCTGACTCCGAAGCCACTGTTAGACCCTTTAAAACGCTCCATAGCTTATTCCCCGCTCGTGGAATAGCAAATATCATATAAGGGTTGGGATTGATTAATTTGGAGAATAGAGATTGCATTGAGTCATCTGATAACCAAACGAGGAAAGGCATTCTCTCAACCAAACATGCTATTAAGTGATGAAATTATAGTGATGGGAAGCTTCTGCAGCCAAACTTTCAGTTACTCTTAGTCTTTGGGCTTAAAGCAGCAGTACCCTTTAAGATGATAATTTGTGGCTGAGAGAACTCTTTAGCTAGGCTGAGCATCGGTACCCCTTTGCTTCCTAAAGGACTAGGCTCCGTCCCTAGCTTCCTTGCTTCCTTTATGAATCATTTAAAAGATGGGTAATATTCTCTAACATTTATCTCTTTTGATTTGGACAGATTTGTTCAGGTATAAAGAGGAAAGGAACTAGAAAGAGTAAAACCAACTGCCCATTTTGGTTTGTATTTGGGGACATGCACCGTTGGAGGTATTGAATGACATGATGAAGATCACTAAAGGAATTAGTAGTTAGATTTGCTGTGCAGTCCTTCTAGGTTTAAGTAGCCATAACCATTAACCTGCAGTCATTGTTGCAAAGAGTTTGACAGAATCCTGGAATCTGATCAAAGTTAAATTGGACAAAACCATTCACATGGAAAAAGCTACTGATAAGTAAAAAGTGGTGAACAAAGTTAGAATCCGTAGATGTTGTCCCCTTTCCTTTCATTTCTATGTTTTTTCTCACTTTGCCAGCAACAGATCACAATAATATAACCGAAAGGGATTCAGATTCTTTCTGTTATATTTCCTTATCTCCCTGCTTTCTATTTATAAACAGAAATTTCTGTCACCAGTCCAACCCTTTACATCCTCTTCTCTTTTTCTTTTGTCCTCTCTTTAGTCCAAAAGGAAACAAGGATTTGAAGAAAAAAAAATGGTATCCTAACCAGTAACCACCATCATTGATTATGTATCTTTCCCAAATGAGAAAACATGGTTTATCCTATTTATGATCTAGATGCAGGGGCATGGAAGGGACGATGACTAATTGGCATTGCTGCCCAAGGACTAACGGGACTCGTCCGGTGGTGACGGTTTGGGACGGTCGACGTTGGGGTGGAGGAAGCAGCAGCTGCTGCGGAGGAGGAGGAAGAAACCGCCACACGTTCACAAGAAGGGCACATAGTGAGGGTTGTGGGAGGGTTCATGTGCATGTAGAGCTGTGGGGAGAGTTTCAAAGCTCTAAGCTCTTGCACTTCCTTCTGCAGCCGCCTATTCTCCTCGGTCAGATTCTCGCAACATCTCTTTAGATACTCACAGTCAACTTCCGTCTGCTTCAACTTTGTCCTGCACCAATTCAATTCCATGCATTGAGATATGATTCGGATTTTATGGTCCAAGCTGGCATTAGACAGCTATTAAATAAACCAGAAAAAAAAAAAGTAAAGCTGGACAATTACAAAATACAGAAGCAAATCCTTCTGATACTTTCTAGCATTAGAGTAACTTTTCTTCTTCTTCTTTTTTTATCATTTAATGAAAAACCCACTTGCAGGGACAAATCTACAGCTCTTTGAGCTGCTTTATACCTGAACACCTAGTGAACCTAAAGATATGACATCAGGGTTAATAGGCTGACACTTTCACTCCATAGGAGATGCACCCGTTAGAGGAAGTCAAAAAAAAACCAAGAAACTCTTTAATAAAAGAAACTCATTAATCACTTTGCGTCAAAATCCAGGAGAAGAGTTAAGCATTGAAATTGTGAAAGCAACCCCAGAATCCTTTCAAATCTTCTTTAGCCGAAAGGGACAACTCTATTCCTATCCAGACATTAATAAGCGCCTAATTGCCCTTATATCAAGACCCTAAAATACCCTTAATAAACATCAAAAATATCGCACCTGGCCCTTCTGTTCTGGAACCAGACCTCCACTTGCCTAGGCCTCAGATTCAATTGCTTTGCCAGTGCCAACTTTTGCTTCTGTAGATAGAAACACGAAACCCACATTTCACATCAATGCCACATTTGAAAACTGTCCTTACAAAAGCCAAAACAAATAACGGAAAAATGCCACTAACCGGATTAAGAGTGCTATGCTCCTTGAAGGTTTCTTCAAGCAGCAAGGACTGTTCCTTTGAGAGCCTAAGCTTTTTTCTCGACGCATCGCCACCGGCACCGCCGTCTTCATCATCGCTGGCACGAGAGCAAGACGCTCTCTCGGCCTCAGTTTCATCACCCACAAGGTCTCTCTCGTTTCTCTTCCCACTTATGCTAGAAATGGTGCTGTTGGGCGACGAGACCCCACCTTCCTCCTCGCAATCAACCGTTGCAGGTGCCCGGTTCACATCTATCCCTCGAAGAAATGATCTCGTATCCAGGTTTCGATCTGCATGTTTAAATTGTGCAACAAAAATCATTTCATCAACCTGGTCAAGTTTAACTGTAAATGAAAGCTTCTTAATTACAAGAAAATCGAGGCCCATGAAGATTGTGTTGGTTAGGAAACAAGTTACTAGCAAAATAAAAGTAGGGGTTACCCCGCTTAGCCTTATCGGCTAACACCTGTGACACGACAAACACAACAGGCAATGTAACAAAATTGTTCAAGTTTCAAGTTTGTTGACCCAAATACTGGAGTTTTAAGATTATTTTCACTCGAAAAGGAAGGAAAGAAATCAAACATGGTAAATGTAAGGGATGTGCAACCCAAAGATAGAAGGAGATGATGGAAACATCAGATCTGAATGTAAAATAGTAGTACTGATTTTTCCCTCAGGTTTCAAGATTTCATGTTTACTGAAAGATAGGAAAGAATAAACAGTTGGGGTATAGTCATGAAAACAGAAGTGAAACATGACAAACCCCGTATGCTGGTGCAGGCAAAGAAAACTATACAGATTTGGCAATTCAACGAAGTCAACCTAGAAGAGAACACATGGTGTTCTTCAAAATTTAACCGTTTCTCATTCTCAAAACACAAAAAGGGGTTAAGCGACGAGAAACATACCAGAAGATTGAAACAGCTCATTCCAAGTGTTCTTCCGCTGAAGATTTTGCATGCGGGGTGAAGCTAAAGGCATGCGATTTAACTTCCAAGAAGGGTGATTTTGAGCACATCCCAAGCCCAAGCTCAACCCCAAACCATCATCTTTTTCACCACCCATCGTCTTTTGTTTTTCCGAACCAACCAAAGTTCTCAGCTTTCCCACCTCCTTTCTGGGTTTTTCTTCCCTTGTGTGTTTGGCTTCTGAGAAAACCCAAAAAGCAAAACGGAAGGAAAAGAAGAGCAGAAAATGGCTTGAGCTTTAGCAGCCAGAGGCGTGTAAACAGCCTTTTGCTTTTGGTGCAGCAGAACAGTGAAAGGATGGGACTATATATAGAGATATAACAGAGCCAGAGAAAGAGACAGATGGGTATAGATTCAATCATGACTTATGTCAGTGACCCTATTGGCTCAATCATGATTATATGGCTTTTTCCTTGGCTTAGCTTGCATGACTTAACTCAACCCTAGTTCATTGCAACTTTTAACCATGATTCTGTTCTAACACTGGTTTAAACAGTATGATGTTGTAACTGAGATCTTTTTATTGGATGTTAAAGTTTATTTAACCGCGGTTAGGTCTTGTCCGAATGGGGAAGAGATGTTTTTTATTTTTTATTTTTAACTTCGCTTAAAAAGCGGCTTTCTCGTTCGTTGACCGTTGACTCGAGGGACAAAAAACCAAAAGCTGCTGCAACCCCCACACTCTGGAGCCACGCGCTTCAAAAAATCATCAGATCATGATGGTAATCATGTGCATTACGAAACCCAGCTTACCCCATGTGGGGGCCGCATGCGGTCCATTCTTGGGACCCATGGCTTGGCTTTTTGCCAGCATGCCAACATCAAATCACGAGGCCAAGGAACGCGAGGTGGGGACAGCGGGGCCCGCAGGTTATCTAATAGGCGAGTGTAGGCGCGTGTCATGATTTGGCACTGGGCTCGATGGGAAGGGAAGGAAAGGAGGGGTTCGGTTCGGTTTGTGTTGAAGGGAATGGTTACAGTTCCTTTTGGGGAAACTGCATGGGGGAGTTGGGTTTTGGGGAGTTACCTACAAAATGGAACCATGCAAATTATGCCCAAAAATGGAAGTGCCATTCACCGTTCAACTCAAGAATTAATTAATTTCTCCATTAATACACTTAAATTTTTTGCTTTGTTTCTTGGTCTTGTAGGTTTGAATGAGTTAATTATGAGCCCTAAACTCATAACTAAACGCTCAAATTATGTTAATTGCAGACAATAAATGTTAAACATTAGCTTTTATCTTCATTAATATAAACTTGATTTCTTGTTGGATCATCATTTATTACGAAAAATTTGTCTTCAAATTTCACATTTTTAAAATGTTTTATTAAACGTATGTTTTTATATATTTATTAAGATTTCATCTATATTGCTTAAAAAAATGTAATTAAAGTCAAAATTTATTATAGTGATTATCTTTAGTCAAAATCTTTCATTAGGTTAAATTTCCAAGTTACCCTAATTGACCAATCCTCCCAAATTGTAAAATTGATCAGCAGGAAATTGTGATCGCGAGTAATTCTAACCTCACAGCTAGCATGAATGTTAAGCCCAATGTATGGCTTCAATGGGTATAACTCATTCAAACATTTTTTCCCAACTTAGAAATCTGTTCTTATAAACACTTTTCTCCAGTGGAAATAGGTTTTATGGATAGAGTTTATTAGAAATAGCATATTATTATCGATATTTTTTGGAGTGCAAATAATTTTTTTTATTAAGGAAGGAAGATTTAAATTCTTATATTTAATTAGAAGAATCGTGCATCAATCAATGAGTTAAATATTCAAATATATTAAAATAATTTTTTTATGTAATTGATCAAAATAGTATATTATTATTGATAAATTTTTGATCAAATTAATTTTTTTTAGACAAATTAGTGACGAATTTTTGGATGAATCCACCTATAAAACTTGTGATCAAAAGTATTAATTAAATATCCGTTACCTGCTTGCAGTTTGTGACAACGAAACACATGCCACTGTGAGTGTTAAATGTTGGGGCAACAGTTAGTATAACATTTGGCATGATAGTTACTAACATGTACCGAGAAGAAAAATAATTATATTATTACCATGAAAAGTTTCTCTAGTTATGAGATAATTCCTTGTATTTTCATGTATTCTCTTACAATAATTAATGGAGTGTGGCAGCCCTAAAGCAGCTCTTGGGAAAATTAAGCTCATAGGGTTTAGGGTTTAGGTTTATATTCATATGTGCAAATACCTTTTTGTTTGGTGGGGACTAAGGGACCAAACTGACCTTATGAGAGTTGAGTGATACTTTCACCACGAAAGGATACTTTCCTTCTGCACTTTTGCATAACAACTATCTCAGCATACGCCCAGTTATCACCCAACAAATTAAAGGCAAGTACACTACACCGAATAAACCGATAATACAAGTCAGTTTACACAAAAGCGAAATATCCTTCGCCAAACATTATAATATATATAATAATACAAATTATCGAGTGAATTAATACTAATGACCAATGAAATATTACAATATTTAAAAAAAATGACCAATGAAATACACATATGGAAGCTTAAAAGCTTCATGATTTGCTCCCATAGAGGATCCCAAACGTAATTATCATGAGAGACACTACTTTTTCAGTGGATATATTTATACGATTTGAGCTCAGCGTCCATACCAAGCCCTTACCTACCAAATCTCGCATAAATCTGCCAAGTTTGACCAGTTATCACATGCATGGTTTCCTTTTGGAATCCCATCCCCTGGATTCTTATCAACAAGAGGATCCCGCCAACTAATCATTCAAATCACAAACAATTGAGGATATGTTTCTGATATCGGTAGCACCTTCCACCATACTTGCTTCTGCTTGAATCAAATCTTTGTCCAAAAGGAAGACCATAGTTTAATACTACTACTTGATAGTATATATTTACTTGATCATAACAGTTGGTGATATCATCATAATGATACTTTGATGTGCATTCATAGGTATATGGATTCATATTCATGTGCTTAGTTTTCATAAAAATTAAAGAAGAATAAATATCGAAAGATCGAAAAGATTTCATAAATTGATGAATGTTGATATTTGAAAGAAAACCCTAAATCAGTAAGCAAGTGGGTCACCTGAGACACAATTGGGATGGTTGGCGATGTGTTGAACTTCGGCTTGGCTTTGAGCCTTGAGAGTGAGCTTTTCGAGTGAGTCTGCGAGAAAAAACGAGTGGGAAGAAATGGGGAAAGAGAAAAAATAGATGGGGCTGAAAGGATAGGGTGGAGGTCACGTGGGGGAGGTGCATGAGTTCACGTGCAGCGTCATGTGGGTGCTCGTCCACGTGTCAACACATGGTCCCATGATTGCACTCGTGCGTGTCACTTTGCCTCTCCGCAACCAGACACCCACTTGTCCACAATCATTGGATACTCTCTCTCCTTTTCCGGGATTTCATGCTTTTTTACAAGTCAGCTTCCAACCTTCAAACGCGCCTCCCCAATTACTACCGTTCCTCACGCGCCCATTCCCAGCCTGCCGCCTGAGTTTCGCCGCCATGGCCAACGGCTCCAGCCGATTATAACATTCTATTGGTAAGAAATTAGGTGGCGTTTGGTATGCTGCAATGTAAAGCACAATACCTGCAATGTTGGCCTTATTAAATTACATTGCCAGCGTTTGTTTTGTAACAGATCACTGCAATGTAAGATTGCAATGCAATCACATTACAGCCAATGGATGTAATGTGATTGCAGTCCAAAACCAATGCAATCACATTACATTGCACTCTGTAATGTTCTTAAAGACAATTTTAACCTTTAATTTTATTACCTTATTAAAAATATTTTATAATATTATAATTAAAATAAAAATATTAAAATAAAAATATTAAAATAAAATATATATAATATAAGATAAAATTAAAATAAAAAAATATAAAAAATAACATTTATATAATATAGGTAAAACAAATTAAAATAAATATATAATATAAAAAATATATAAAAAATAAAATAAAAATATAAAATTATAATAATAAATAAAAATAAAATATATGATATTAAAAATATATTTAAATATGATATTATATAAAAATTAATAATATAAATATAAATATATTAAAAATAAAATATAAAATATTATAATAATAAATAAAAATAAAATATATGATATTAAAAATATATTTAAGAAATGATATTATATAAAAATTAAAATAAAAAATATAAATATATTAAACTTATATTTTAATAATTAGGGGTAATTTGACAATTAACATTACATTCTCACTAAAGTACTTGTAAATCAAACACTGCAATATTATCTTCCCTGCATTTTAATCACTATTTTGCTTACATACCAAAACTGTAATGTTATTTCCCTGTAATCACATTGCTTGCAATCACATTACTTGTAATCACATTACCTGTAATCACATTGCATTGTAATGTACCAAACGTCACCTTAAGACTAGTTAGGGGATAGTGTCGCTTTAACCTTTAAATAATGAAAAAAACTCGTAAAGCCTACGGCAAATAACACGATTGAAGTAGGGTTTGGAACTTGGCATAATGATTTCAGAATGAGGGAGATTGTCGGTTTTATGATTAAGTTTTAGCCTCACGTGTGCATAGGAAAGAGGCTAGCTGTCCCACGTGTTCTTCCTCCCAACTATGGATTCCACCAACAGCCGACAGTCCCTCACCATGCACCGCCTCTGGCCCGTACGAGGGGGGCTCACCACGTGATTTGGTCCAAAACCCAAACTTCCATTTTTCTTTCCTTATCCACCCAAACAAGTGAAGCGAACCCCTTTCGCCCTGGATTCACGATCAAAAGGAAAATCATCCACACTCATATCATTAGAATAAAGCAAGTTGTTCAAAGCATCTTTCCTTCTTTTCTTTTTCTGGTAAAAGCTTTGAATCTTTTCTTGCAGGCTCCATATTTATCCTTGTTGTCTGTGTTGCTCAAACTTTCCTGGCTGCTGGCCCTGGTTGGTTGGTTCGTGCTGATTTTCAATAACCCAGGGAGGACAAAGGGGGAAAAAAACTTCGCTGTCAATGATCATTTGTGAGCATCAGAAACCAGAATCGTGTGATACTCAAAACTCTGTGTGAGGGGTCATGTAGCAATAATGATGTTTCTTACTAGGAGCATAAACAATGATAACACCATTGATGAAGACCTTAAATTATTTGCTTTGCTCATTATCTTCTTTTACCTATTGCTGTTATCATTATCATCATCATTGAAATTCTTTCCCTGGGGTACGTAACGCAAAGAAAAAGCTGTAATGTCATATCATGTTTTATTACTTTAACAGGTCGATCCAGTGATGGAATTTTCGTGTGGTGTCGATTAGTGTTTGTTTAAGTGGCTTCAAACTAAAGAAGTAGTTATCATATATATAGCAGAGACGTGTGCACGATATTATTAACTGGAAACGTTCGTGCTTCTTAAGTATATTATATGCTATACTTTAAATTGAAGCCAACAACAGTATGATTACCAAGTTTTCATTAACTTATACAATATCATTGTTTATTTAAAAATCTTTATTTATAAATCATATGGTGGGTATTAATTAATAGGTTTATTCCATTGAATTGATTTGATATGTTTGATTTCAATGTTAGTAAGTTATTTAAGTTAATTTATTTAATTATTTTAATTATTCAAAATTTAAAATTAAATTTCAAATTTTTAAAATAAATCAAGAAATTAAAATGAACGTAAATCGATTATTTCGGTTTTTGAATATAATTTAATGAATTCAATTTAATTACTTTTTTATAAAAAATTTAAAACCGATCAAATACTCAATTAATAATTTTTTCTTCAAAAGCAATAAAACCATTCCAGAATGCAATGAAGAGAAATAGTAATTAGAGACGTACTAATGAGGAGTGAGATGAGCGAGCCAAAGCTAGAGCCGACTGAGGAGGTGGCGAGTCAAGGCAGGGACGAGCGCGAGTGAACGTCACGTGACGGAGAAGGGGAATAGGGAGGAAGGGAGAAGAGAGAGAGAGTTCACGTGCAAAAGCATGTGCTGCCTGCCACGTGTGAAGGGCTCTATGTGGGGTATGACACGTGGTCCCAACTTTTGTAACATCGCCCACTGTCATCTTGTTCCACTCCTACGAGACACCTCAATCATTGGATACCCCTCCACCTTAACGACCCAAATTACCATACAACCCCTACATTCTATTCTTAATTTCCATCTATCCGTAACTATATTACAAGAATATCTTAACAATTATGTAAATACAAAATATTAATAAATACATATATAAATACGAATATGACATAACATGTTATGAATTTAAATAGATGTGCAGATGTATTTATTAAACATGTGACGCTATACGATATAATATAATTAATATATTTATTAAAAGAGTTAATATATTAATATAATAACTTAATTAATTTACATGATTAATATGCTACATGCAATAATTTTAAATTTAAATCTGTATAATTTTTATATGGTTCTCCTGAATGGGGTTTAGAATTAGTGCATCTAATAAATCCCTTCCATTGTTGCCAAATAAAGAAATGGATCCCTCATTCCTTTGTTAATCCGCTCCGACAACCTCATCGTGCAACCGATCTCCCACCGTACACCACTCTACGTTGCTGTCCTCCATGTGACATACGTGTGTATACATTTATACATTTTTCTTTACATATTATTTAACTCCCAACTTTGTGAACAGTTTTGTTTTTCAATAAAGGAACTCACTTTCTTTTCCTCACAAATACTTTGTAATACCAAATGCAAAACGGAAAAAAGTTTTTTTTTGTTTTAATTATACTCTCAAATATCTGAACTTGGAAGCTGAAAATTTAATTGAAAAAAAGAGGATATTAATGGGAGAAATTTAGGTAGAAAGGGTGAACGAAGGCACACGTGTAACATAGGGGTCAAACGTTGGATCTTGTTCAGCATAAGGGTCTAATTATTTGCTTTGAAGCTTCATTCCCACTTGATCAATCCCTCCCCGCAACATCCGCCATCGACACGCACGAGCTCCATTTCTCTACAAAATTTTACAAGCATAGGCCGGTGATGCACGTGCGGGGTTAGTACCCCTTAAGATTCATTTAATCCGAATAAATCCTATTTACTATTATCACTTGCGAATTCTATTTGCTCGCCTTACTTTTTGTATAGTAATATAATCACTATGAAATAATTTTACATAATATTAAAAATATAAATACATTAATAACTAAAATCTAATATCTATAAAGATCATGAATTATGCTTATAATATTGGATCGTATTTTATAATGTGCAAAAATAAAAAAGAAATACTAATAAATCTTGGAATTTGGATATGAATCCTCCCTAGTTCATTGCATAATTCTTTTATTATTATTTTTTTAACATAACATATTTATAAAAATACGAAGCAAAGGACTATCTGTCGTTGTCTCCAATCGTTGTTGAGTTTGCGAAGGAGGGCAACAATGGGGATTTTCAGGCTTGTTAGCATCGGGGTTGTTTTTGCTTTCTTGGCCAATGTTGGGGTTTGGATAATGGGCTTTAGAAGGATGGATCTTCTATGCTCCTTGGGTGAACCTGGTAACAGATTGTTAATGCTATGGATCTCTTTTCATGGTGACAGTGAGACATCGACGGTTTGTTCTTATCCCCTTCAGTTCATGCTAGAAACGCCCAACTGTCAGGAAAATCCATAGACCTCTTGGAACCTACCGATAGAAGGAATATAATGCACACTTATTTCGAGTTCAATTGATTTGTGTAGGTAGAGGGGATTTAAAAGAAGAAAGCGATGTCAATAATGAATTGTGATGTCGATGACAATGACTGGTTCAGGGAGTGTGGATATAATAAAGAAGAGGGGACCGAGACATGGAGCGAAAATAAGAGGTCGTTGGTGATGATGAGCTGAGTGAGATGCTGAACATGGATGAGCATGATAATCCCGTCATAATGTGATGCTGATTTTATGCTTGTCAATGAGTCCAAGCCTGACAGGATTGAAATTCTCCTTGGTCACAACTTGGCAATGGGCATCAACCATGCCCGGCGAATTTCAGGATCTAAGGCAAACACCCATCTAGATTAGGGCATTAAGGGAGAATTTCTTGGGTACATTTGGCAAAAAATACAAAGGAGATTTGGATCTTGCATCTCTAAGTTAGGGCCTCAACGATGAGCTTAGGGTGTCATCCCCACCAGGGAAACCCCAACAGACTCTTATACACCAAATCAGTATCGATAAACAATTCAGATTTACAGTTTAATCATGTTTGTCAATTCAGTAGTTTTAATTAATCTTCAACCACCGCTTCTAGCTTCATTCATTAGTAGAATACAAGCCTACTCTATATGTGAAAACAACAAACTACAATCTGGCATATTACTAGTCATTCCAAGGAGAAAAAAGCCACCAAACATAATGACTTGCAATCTTTAGCTACAGCGCTGAAGGTGCAACACTGAGACAACAGTGGCCCTGGAACTGTTAATGATCAAAATGATAATTTTCCCTGCAGCTTCATCACATCTGCAAACTGAGACAAATTCATCTATGTTAGCTTCGTAAAGAACCAGCAGATCGAGGATAAGAATTTAGACAAGTCAAACAATCTAAAACATTTACACAATAAGGTTCAGTTATCGAGGGGACATTGTAACAAGCAAATTATAGTGATGTACAAGAAATTTTATTAGACAATTAGGTGTTTATTTTGGCCAGAAGGTAAGGGCTAGTGCTGACAGTGGTTATAGCTAGTTGATGGAAAACAACAATGTTAAACAAACATCAAGGCTGTACACAAGCTGAGTTTTAGAAGATTATCATGTCAGAGATCTTTTGTTTGTCATAAATATTTATAATAACTCTAAATCAACACTTTAACATATCTACTTGCAAAAACAGCAATGAGAAGTCAAGCAGAAGATCACAAATTATACATTCTAAATAATATACTCTCAAAATATGATTTCAACAAGATGATGAGGTGGAAAAGACAAAATTACCCTGGTTGTTGAGTACCAGCTTGTTGTATCATCTGAGAATATATGCATTCGTCAACCCTCTGCTTTGCTAAAGCAACCTAAGAAGCGCCCAAAATTGAAACATGTGAAACGATAAGAACCTCAACAAGACTATGATAAAGAATTCAGCAGAAGGCAAGCTTTTTCCTGCAAACTTTTTTTAATATGTAATCTTAGTGTATCAACGATCTATCCATGTCATTATCAAACACAGAAAGTTTATTGGAAAGAAAAAGATATAATCACTCAAAGTAAAACATTTTTCAAATATATCTACGGAAAAAAATACTAAATAATTTCCATCCTTCAAACGAAAAAACTTACTTGCTGAGAACTACCGCTGAACTGAATATGCCTCACTTTTTGTTCTCCTTTCCCACCATAAACCTGCAACGGTAACAATAATATGATTAGAATTCAGACGTTAAGAAACTCTTTTAAGTTGTAAAGGTGGATGAATTGACCTAAAAGTTAAATCCAAGAATAGCTAAAGATTGAATCCACAGCATAGGACCCAACAATTTGCCTACCTTTATAGTTGCTCCAGACTCAATTCTGATCCTTGAAATATTGGAGCCACATCTGCCGATCAATCCACCAATAAATGTCTCCGAAACCACCATCTCGAAAGTTACATAATCAGCTGCAAGAGTGGTTGTCCTAAAGATGATGTGGTTATAAGAAAAAATATTAAAACTTGATAGCCACAGAGTGTAGCAGTTGAAAGCTAAAAATAATTTTAATATGAAAATTATTGAATAACCTGAAGTTGGGTCCACATATGGCTGAGGCTGAGGTGGCCGAAGCAAGTTAAAATTATATGCCGGACTAATAGAAATCACTTGCCGTGGTGGGTTTTCCCTAAACATGGAGCCAACATATCACATCTTCAAGCAAGCATCATAAATAGCTAATTGTACTATGAACTAAACTCAAGCAACACTCAACCTATACCTGAGTTGATAACCAATCTCAGCCAGAGCCTTCAATACTGCTGGAACATCACCAGATATCTGTGCTCAATAAGAATTTAATCATCATTCAGATATGGAAAGAAACAAACATTACAAAAACAAGATAAATCTAAGGTTCAAAAAGGAATAAACAAAATTCCATGGAAAAAAAAGGGAACACAATCTACATGTCCAGACACCTTATTAGGCTTTAACCATGTAAAATCTAACCTGAACAACTCGATCAGATTCATGAGCAGATGCACACAAAGGCAGCTGGTTTGGAGCAAGAATCGTGACTGAGGCTCCGGAGGAACTCCTCAATTTCTCAATGTTTTGACCAGACATCCCAATTAGGCAGCCCGCTTGTGACCCGGCAATCAAAAGCCTTATCGTATTTGCAGCCACATGTCCCGCACTGACAGCTCCTACCTTTGCTGCCTCCGTACCACTATCATCTTCCTGTTAAGAAATACAATACAAACCCATCCACCTTTGCTCATCATGACAGCATTTTGCGTGTTCTTATGTCTTGACATTCATCACCTTTGCTTATCACGACTGTTAAGCTAGCAATAAAATCGATAAAGAAATGTCCAATTGTGAGATTAAAGAGAGCGAAAAAAAGGTTACCTTTAGGATTAAGGTAGCTATTTGCTGAAGTGCATTTTCCGCATCTGAAATCATGTTCTCGTTGTCTTTAGAGCTTATGATGATGACACGTTCTTCATGTCGCTGCGAAACATTAACAATAAATACACAATTAAAATGGAAAAAAGGAAAAAATTCTTTAACAATAAAAGAGACCCCTAATCTCAACTTACGACGATAGCATCGGCAATCTTGATGGTGGCTTTGGTGTCTTCACGAATCTTCTGGATTCTATGGCCTGCTTTGCCGATGACTTTACCGATCTGCCTTGAGGGGACCACGATACGGAAAATGACGTCCTGGGATTTCGCCTGCCGTTTCGGAGCCGATTCTCCGGCATCCCCTGCCGCCGCGTGGTCTTCTTCCTCGCGACGGCGCTTGGCGGTGCGGAAAAGGTCCGTTTGCGGTTGAGGTTGGGGTTGGCCTGGCGGTGGAGGTTGAGATTGGATCGGGCCGGCGGGTGGCATTGGGGGGTTTATGGGAAATTCACTTGTTTGGACCATCGCTGGTGGTTCGGTAAAACCAGAGAAGGAAATGAAAGAGCAGAGACAGACACGAGACTTGGAAGTCAAGGGCTTTTATTGTTTCAAAGTGGGGATTTACTTCTATACCCCTAAAGTAAAAGAGATAGGAAACCAAAAGGGTCGGGAGCCAATATCCTATTTGGGTCAAGTTCGGGCGTCCGCAAAGACAAGGCAGACGCGGTCACTGAAGACCCTCCACCTGCGACAATGGAAACGCCATAAACCCTAAACCATTTCAGCCGAGGATGCACCTTTTCAGCAAATTTCTCTACTCACATCTTTCCCGCCACTTTTCTACACTACCCAAACTCCCTAGCCTCAGGAAAATCCCTTCCAAGTATCGACCCCAAGCCATCCAAGACGCGCAACAGGCTCTCACAGATTACCTCCACGGCACCAGATACGTCCCTTTCGTCTACGCCGAACACATTGCTAAAAACTCTCTCTTTTCTCTCTCCGGTCTCATCTCCGACATCGACTTCTCTCCGACGAGTTTCACCAGGAACGTTCTTAAATTCCTCAGGTACCATCCCATCAACGAATTTGAGTTTTTCTTTGAAAGTATAGGCATTGATTATAAGGAACTCAGTGGCTTTTTACCTGCCAAGAAGTTCTTTTTTTCGGAAGATGAGAGGGTCCTTGATGCAGCTTGTGCGCTTTCCGGATTTGGGTTTCCTTGGAACAAGTTGGGTAAGCTTTATAAAGAGGAAGTTTCGATTTTTAGGATAAGTTCTAGGGAGTTGAAAGCTAATCTTTTTAGGATCAAAGAATGTGGCTTTAGTAATATTTCTGTTATTGGTGTTTGCTTGGCTTTTCCTTATGTGTTACGTGGGGATGGTGAATTGGATGGGGAAGTTGGTGGTTTATTGGATGATTTGAAAAAGGTTTTTGTAGATTTTGATTTGGGAAGTTGTGTTGAGGCCAATGTAGACGCATGGTATGAGATTTGTAGGAAAATGAGGGTGTTTTATGATCTGGGATTTGAGAAAGGGAAGACAGGGGAACTGATGGGTAGAAGTAAGAATCTTTTTCTTCAGTATCCAGAGGAGGTTATGGTCCAGAAGGTCGAGTATTTTTGTCGATTTTCTGTTAGGAAGGAAGATGTTGGTTTGTTGATTCTTCGAAGGCCGGAGATTTTGGATTTTGATTTGGAAACACCAGTGATTTCAGTAATGGGATTATTGAAACATTTTGGATTGAGTACAGAGGAAAGGAATGCCATTGCTCAAGAGTACCCCTATGTATTGGGGAGAAATAAACTGGCTAATTTACCTCATGTGATGAGAGCATTAAGGCTACATGAGTGGTTCTTTAATAGGATTAGGGATGGAAATCATAAATTGCTTGCTAATTATGCCATTAGTCATCCTGGTGAAGACTTGGATGAAGATTTCAGAGATTGTTTGGAGAGGATTCAGTTTTCAAGAACTCCTATCCACACGATGTGTAAGTTGAGTTTTTTGCATGGAATTGGGCTTGGAGAGAATTCTTTGACCGTGAAGGTTTTAGCTCATGTACATGGTACTAGTTGTGAGTTGCAAGAAAGATTTGATTGTCTTCTTGGTACAGGGATTGAGTTCTCAAAACTTTGTAAGATGATACAGATGACACCAAAAGTTCTAAACCAGAACCCAGAAACTCTCGAGCAGAAGGTGAATTTCCTTTGCCATGAAATGGGTGTTCCTCTGGACTACCTTAATATATTCCCAGCCTTTCTGTGTTTTAACTTAGAGTACCGGATTAAGCCCAGGTACAGATTTCACAAGTGGCTTACGGAGAAAGGTTTGTGTACTAAAAACTACTCCATTGCAAGCATGGTTGCAACTAGTGAAAAGAGTTTTGTAGCCCGTCTTTATGGAATTCATCCAGATGCCCCAAAACAATGGTTTGAGAATTTCTCCTGCAGAAAACCCAGTGATAGTAGCTAAGACCATTGTAAATTGTCTAGGTATGGCTTTTGACAAATGATTTTTGGATTGATATCTAATCTCTAAGTGAGATAGATGTCTTTCTTCTCAGTTCATATATTGCAATGATCAAGATGGTGTATAGATGTACTCATTCGTGATCAACCTTACCTCTGCATATCACACACAATGTATCGATGGAAAGAGTTATGAGGAAACGAGTCAAGGGAAGGGTGTGCTTATTAACCATTTCTAGGCATTTGCCCTTTGTAACATTCATATTTAAACTGCAGGACTTTGTATTTGTGGTTTACCTCTGCTGTGAATTTATATTTATCTTGAAATGGTTGAATTAGTCAATTCATTGGGACGATGTGTAAGAACCTCTATGAGTGTTCATCTTTAAAATCATACCAATTAGGCAATAATCGATTTTCTTGGTTATATTGCATTTGCCAAGTGTGATCAGTCCAATGTAGATTGTAAATGGTTTCCTTTTGACACCAAGGATGCTTGACAAGGTAATCTAACTAAGTGCAAGAGTTGAACCTGTCTTAATGTTCAAAAAGTTCAGATGAATGAAAAGGCATTGCCAGAAATGGAGCAACCAGGCTGTCTGCTGGTTCTGTCTTGTTCTTCAAGTTTATGGATGACAGGCCATTGATTGTGGGGAATACCTGCGTAACAATTTGTCCTATTTTACATATTATCAGGGTGTTTTTATTCTACTGAAGACTCCAGGTTTATGTGTTCAAAATCAGTTGGTCCCCCTGATGGAAATAAGAAATGCATTCAGGATTTTGTTTTTCCTTTTAATGTTCTTGGTGAGGCAACTATTTTCTAAGGTCCTAGCGAAAATCTGGTGCAAAATCTTTGTCCCTATTCATGAACAAGAAAACCTTGTTAACTGTCCATGCCCTACTTGGATTGTAAGAGGCCAATATCATTGCAACAGAGGCTCACGTTCATGAAGCGGATGGCTTTGTCTGTATGCAGATGGGTGGTGGCTGCTTCAGGTTTCTCCCAATAATGGGGATAAATTCGCTGTCCCCCCCTCTCCTTGTAAACATTCCTTGTGTCCAATCCCATCATTTTCGTCCTTTTGCCCAGACGAGTGAACGTTTTAGCTTTGAAGCTTCCGTTCAAGCCAATGTTCATACTATGATTACTCAGCTCACATGTGATTGTTAAGCCAATCACTGCTAATAACTTAAGTTTAAGTTTTTAAATGTTGCATGGTTTCAGTTTGAAAGGTTGCTGGATTAGTAATACTTGAATTCGAGTCATTATAATTTTTAATATATTAATCTACATCAATTCGATATGAACTTTTACATTGAATTAATGAAATTTTAACTTTATGAAATGAGATATTCCCATGTGATCTTAAAAATGTAATTTGGAGAGCAATTAAGCACTATTTACTTCACCATTTGAGCTTAAAACTAGTAATCGTTACCTACTAAAAAAGAATTAATAAGGAAGACATTAAAAAAGGAATATGCAGCATACACCCAACTGTAGATTTCACTAGGAAGATTTTTTCTTTCAAAATTCATAGCATCTCCCATGTCTTTTCTATTTTAGTCTATATTCTGGCTACCTTGATGAAGATCAAGGTGCATGGGTTTGCCACTGCTGCTTCAATATGAGCAAAGAAAGGCAAGTTAATTCAGCAGATAAGCACAAAGTTGTGCATATCTAACAATAAAATCATGCATGCATTGTCATTTAAGGTCATATGATTCTGATTTTTCTCTCTTTTTTCAACTCTTTTTCGGTGAACACAGGTCGTTGTCTTATTTTTCTTGCATTCCTTCCCAAGGGCAAGACTTTCCCAATTTAATAAGCCATGACATGCTTGATTGATTGTAGATATCTTTGAATGGGAAAAGCAAATATCTCGCCATAATTATTCCTATTGCCTTAAATCTTTTAGATTCGTTATTGTTATTTATATTTTTTCTTGATAAATTTTTCTGTAATTTTTTTAACCTGTCATCCTGCAACTTCTATTTTCGTAAGAGATTAAATTATTAATTTTAGCCTATAAATTTATCAGAATATTGAAATTGATAATGCTAATATTATATAATTAACTTTAATTTGAAGATTAGGAAGATAGGTTAGAGGTTTCAAAGAATTGCAAGCAAACAAACAAATGTATTGACGGCAAAGGCCAAAAAAAAAAATAAAAAAAAGGAAAAGGGTCTTTAAAACACAAGCCACATAAATACCAAAGTGTACCTATTCAACACATAATGATGTTTTGCATGATGCACACGTGTCCTCTTTTAAGATCCCTCTTTGATTGGATTTAATTCTGTCCACATTTCGGTAAATTTTCTCTTTTTTTTTTTTTAAATGGAAAAAACACTACATTTTCCACTTTTTGGATAAAGCATAATTTAGTAATTTTAAATTTTCTTTTTCAATTACTCAATCATTTAAATTAAATTACCCTTTTTAGATTCTAATAATTAAAAAAAATGGGTCTCTTGAATGCTAATTAGGGTTGGAAAAAGGGTATTTTTCCAAAGGTTGAAATTCACATGGGGCACACAATTTTTCACAAACAGCCCACAGTCAATAATTTATATGGACCTACTGAGGGCTAGATTCTTAATAAATGATTACAATAATAGACATTTATACCAACATGAACTGGATACCAAAAAAAAAATAAAACATGATGCCAAATTAGAAGTCTAACCATTCATTCTACAATTTTGTCTTTATCCTCTTTTTCTTATATGTATCAATGCAACAAAGTACAACTTAACCCCGAATTTCTTTTTGGTTGTATCTTATTTTCAATCAAATATTTCAATAATTAAAATTTAAAGACCTTACTTAAATTTTAAGAACGTTTTAACGATCTCGTGTAGGGATAACGAATTTAACCGTCAAGTCGTTGGATAACAAAATTTATAATCTTAGAATTAAGATTTGATTGAACGAATCTAAACTATGCATACATTAATGTGTCTTTTGTGATTTAGGTTTTCAATCTCGTATTGATCGAGTAATGTTTATTAAATTAAATTATAAAGAAGTTGAATTTGAATAAACAAGTGGTTGTGTCAAGAATTCACATTTTTAACTTAAAAATTTAAATTTAAAATTTATATGATTTTTTATTTATGTGAAATTCGTGAGTAGTTTTGTACCCATTGAATCCAAACACGCCCTAAAGAAAGTGCCGCAAGCAGTCAAGGTTAGAAAACAGTGAAAAAACAGAACAGCAGCACCCGGGACCGGACCGAGGTTTCAAAAACTGTCATAAAGGAAATAAAACGAAAGAACCAAGGGCAAAACCGTCATGAGAAAAAAAGAGAAAAGCTTTTGTTTCCTTCCATTCTGTGCTCAAGAGTATCATAACTGCTCTTTTTCTTCTCTCCCCTTCATAAGAAACTCAAAAACCAAAACACCCTCACTTTGGTCTTGTTCCAATTCTCTCTGTCTCTCTCTGTCATTTGTCTTTGCTCACTCTCGTGGATTTAGATTCCTCTCTATCCCTTAACTAGAGAAGCAAATACCTAGTTTTTGTTTGGCTTTGGTCTTTGGTTCCCATTGAAGGAACGGGGAGAACAATTTGTTTTCTCTGTTCTATCGATCAATGGTGTTTCATTCGATCTCAGAAAGAAGAAAGAGCTCAAACAAGAGGGAACCCGAAACCGTCATGGCTTCTTCTTCGACCTTGAAATCGCATCCTCTTCATAACTTCCAATTACATGACCTTAAATGGGCCATGAACCACTCCAACAACCACCGCCTTCGCAAACTCTCTGATTCCTCTCACAAATCTCCTCAACGCGGGGATACTGATTCTGACTCCGATGACAGCCGGAAGGGGAATCCGGTGCGCGAAGCTGCTCCCAAGAACGGAGCTTCTTCCGGTTCTTCTGCTGATCATAGGAGTGAAAAATCGGAGAAGAAAGTTATCAACGGTTCTGACGTTTTGGTTGATAATAACTCCGAGAAGAAAGCTACTCCATCGGATGGTAGATCAAAGATCTATATACGTTTCCGAACGAAGAATCCGAAGCCTGCTGATGAGGTAGCGGATGCAGGAGATCAGAACTTGGATGCTGAATATGTTGAAGAATTGGTTCCCAAGACGTGGAATCTGAGGCCAAGGAAGCCGATTACTAAGCCTCGTAATCAGAATGGAGCCGCCCCGAGGATCGGAGCTTCGGCGCACGAGAACAAAACTCATAGGCCGGAATCGACCCGGTCAAGGAATGTGACCGAGCCGAAAGCGGCTGAGAAGAAGGAGAAGAAAAAGAAGTTCTCTATTTCGCTTTCTAGAGAAGAAATTGATGATGATATCTTTGCTATGACCGGGTCAAAGCCCTCTAGAAGGCCAAAGAAGCGAGCCAAGAATGTTCAGAAACAACTCGATGTAAGCTTCTAAATTCCTTCATTGTTTATCTTTTGAAATTTGGATTTTCCTTTTCCTAATTCTCTTTAAATCTTTTTACAGTGCGTGTTTCCAGGGTTGTGGTTATCTTCGATAACGCCTGATTGCTACAGAGTCTCGGAGGCTCCTGCGAAGGTCTGATGTTTTGGCTATTTCGAAAGTTTGATCTTTTTAATTACATGGCCGAGTGATTTTGAATAAAGGTTTGATTTTGGTGATTGCAGGGTTAGATTGGTGTGCTGCTAAAACTGTGAATTTGGAAGGTGGGGATAAGGATGACTGCTAAACTTTTTTTTGCAGCTGTAGATGAGCTTGTAGATGAAAGGGTAACAAATGTATCTTGTTCTTGTGCCTTTTTGTCTAATCCTTGACGAGGTTAAAGGATGGTGGGAGACAGTTATATTATAAATCTTGTTATGAGTAGTCACAGATGTAAATATGACTTATCAGTTTCATAAACAGGGTTTTAACCGTTTCAGTTTATGTAAAAGGAAGTCGTTTTTTCAGGTGATCGTTTGGATCCTTAGGTTATCAGTACTTGTTAGTTGTTCATGGAACTGGTTTAAAATTTTAGAGCATAATAACAGTTTGTTGATCCAAAAAGTTTGGGATACATACTTGTGTTTGATGTGCTTATGTTTCTTTCTTAAATGATTAGTTTACTGGCTGTTGATTGATTTGAGAACGTGTCAGTAGTTAACGGATTAAGTAGTTATGAGCACGTGTTAGTAATTAACGGATTAAGTAGTTCTGAACACGTGAGCGTGCTTGAGCTACTGTCTGTTTTCGTAAGAGGTCTGTATTTTGAGTGGAAATGCAAAATGCTGGACAAGAATATGGTTGGCGCATACTTTTATGAATGATTTGCATCAATGGAATCTCTATGTTCTTTCTCACTTCTTAAATTTACACTTGTTCAAGAAAAAGTTGTTAGTTTAGTGACTTCAATTTATTTAGGAAAGTGTCATTAGTTAATGAAGTAAGTAGTTTTACTCGTTTTTTCTGTTCTATCTCTAGATAGCGTGTGCGACAAACACGTGTCATTGGCCATTCAAGGCAAGATTGACTTGTGCCTGTGACCAGGCTGAAGTGGTTTGAGTGATATGTGTCATGGAAGCCAAATGGTTTGGAAAACACCCTTATAAGTGGCTTGCATAAACTGTATCTTTTCATTTTTATTTGCTATTGGAAAGCAAACTAGTGATATGAAAAACAGTTAGTTCACTGGCTCCTGGTTGGTTTGAGATGAAGTGCAATTGTTAAATGAATCAAAATGTTTTGTCTCGTGTGTCTTTCTTGTTTGAGAGATTGTTGGCTAGATGCGTCACCATCATTTCTATAAGACACACTTGACTGATCAGCAATATTTATGTCACAGAAGCTGTGCATTTTGTGATTGGGTTACATCTTTTGTCAATGAGTTAACTCTTGCTTTGAAAATTACATTTGTCAAAGTAAAAGTGGTTAGTTTATCACTATCAAATAGTTTTAAGGAGAATGCCAATCTCTATTGGATTATTATTTTGCCTGTTTATCTCCCCAGCTTGGAAATTTATGAGTGAACAGATGCAGCAGCAACTGTTTATGCAAAGATGTGTGTTTCTGATCATGGAAAATTGGTAGAGCAGATTGCATGCATGGAAGCCATCAAGCCAAATAATCAGGCTCATGGTCTTATTAAATATAGACTTTCTTTAATTGACCAAGTAGTTTTCCCGAGTTTGCCTTTACTATTTGAAGTGTACAAGCAATTTGTTTGTGTTATTGTTAATGACAAGATGTGAATGACTGAATAGGTTGGAATTTCATGGAGAATATCAGTGATGGAGCCTAAAGATTGGGTTACACTATTGTGATTGACCTACATGCTTTATATATGTGTGTGTTTTCCTTCTAAAGAAAAAATTGCTCTTGATCATCTCCCAACAAGCTTTTTATTTTCTCCTCTTTGCCATTGTGTCTGCATCAATATGTGTAAATACTGGTGAAACTAGAAAAATTAAGTTCTTAGATTAGAGTCTAATCTCTGCCATGTGAATGATATCCATTTCTAGCAATATGACGTGCAACTAATATTACTTGATAGGACTTTAAAATAAAAATGTGTTTAACATGCCAATTAGATGGTCCAAAGAACTAATTATCTTTATATTTGACATTATTTAGCATTTTTTTGGGTAACCACATTACTTACCTTCTGTACAAATGTTGTTTCTACTTTGGTTGACATTCTTTGCTTTTGAGAAGGGTGCAAGAGAATATCAAAGCATATATAGAATATAGAGTGAATGGTGAAAGCATATATAGCATATATAGTGAATGGTATAAGCATATATAGCAAGCTTTCGCATTCAGGAATGTAGAGTTTGTATATATTTGGTAACTCTATAAATCTCAAATCTTGCAATAACCATATTTTCTGAAGCATAAACCATTTCAATTAGCTCATATTTGAAATGGGATATTATACCTTTTTTTTTGGCTTGAGGAGGTTTTAAATGCATTACTATATTTTTTTAAATTTATCTGATTTGCTATGTTGCAATTTGATTGCCAGCTGTACCAGCCATTGTTTGCCTCTTAGCGCACACGCAAGCACATACACACACACATACTATGTTGGAGCATGGGCCTTAAATTTGTTAGGATGTGCTTCTTCTGGGCTATATGATGATGCCATCTCTATTACTTGATATTTTTACTGGAAATCTCTGGTAAGCTATGACTGTATATGGATCTGATCGGGAACATTAAAACAAAGCTGTTTCACTTTAGATGCTTCTATCATGTGCAAGGAAGATCATTTAGTACTGTAATATTCATGGCTTTTACTGTGTTTGATTTCTAATTCAGTGTTCTATAGAAAATGCTGGGTTGTTCTGTTTAAAGCTTCAGCCTAATGGAAAGGCTACCCTCAGTACCCCAGGATTGTCACCATCTAGAAATGTTTCATGAGCACACATTCTTTGAAGACAACATGACAGTTATAACGTTCAGTTCTTCCTGTTTTTTTCATTTGGGTACTTAATAGTTTTTGTGTTTATTGCATTGAACTGTGAAATTTTCAGTCCACAGCCGATCAAGTTTGATTGTAATGTTGTCAGACCAGGGAAGGTTCTGATCTGGATAATTATTGTCACTGAGGTGTGCTGCAAACTTAGAACCGCTCCATATTACTTGGTGGCCATCAGGCTGGTTCCCGGAAAAGAACTGACCAATCAAACCCTGTCCTGGATCTTCTAGTGAGCTTGCAGTCTGTAGATCTGATGCTGAACTTGCAGGGGGTATTCTGGTATAGATCTTCTCTATACAGTCCATTACAAAATGGCTGCAGTTAAGAACCAGATGGAAATTGCACCTAGCACCCTCCATTAAGCATCTGCAGAATACAAAGGTAGTTTTCTGCCTGACATGTTATGAAGGGTTTTAACATATTTCATTGTATTTCTGGTAGCTGGGGAATCCTGCACAACTTCTGAAATTTGGATTCCATGTGCCATCTTAGAAACTTTCATCGTCCTGAAACTGGGAGCTTTGAGATGATGCTGTTTCCTGGCAATGACGGGTGAAATGTGCCTACTGCCTAGTAATGTAGTTCATGTAAGTCCCACATAAAAAAATCCATTTATTTCATTTTTGTGTTTTCTGTTCAACTTTCTTTTTAGTTTGAAAATTTTGTGATGGGAAATATTCCGGTGCGAAATAATCTTTGTGGCAAATGATGTTATGCAAATCCTACATAGCAAGCAAGCTCTGAATGATGCTTTATTGTTTGTTTTTTTGTTTTTACAATTTATTCAGTTTTTGTCAAAATGTTGAAAGTAAACAGAAAAAAGTATCAACTAAATGAAACTTAAGTCACTTGTTGCAATATATTGCACATAGATTGGTTAAATTTTAAAGCAGATATATAAATTAAATTCACAAGTGAGGCATGAATGATGGGTTACTGTGATTTTCTGCAAATAGCATTTTTCTTGTAGAACATACACACATCATACTTAGAGTAGACAGAAAATGAAAAAAAAATAAAATTCAACACTAAATAGCTCCAGATTTTCAAATATACATGATATATATTTGAAAAATTTATACACCAGAAATTCCCACGTTAAACATCCTCTTAAAAAGCACAAAGAAAAAAGACAGAAAAAACACTGATTTTGTTCAAAGATTGATTCTTAGACGATCAGTGCAATCAAAGAATTAAAAATGGGACTTAAGAAACAAGGTGGGCATTTTCCTTTATTCTGGGAGAACCTTATTCACTTCTCTCTGCTTTATAAAACTTGATAATCTAACTAAGTTGGTTCATCTTGCACTTTCAACCTTGAGCTGTTTCGACTGGTTCGATCCCTGTCTTCAGCATCAGAGGTATGTACTTCTACTCTTATGGGGGTTTTGATTTTATTTACTCTTTTATCTTTAGCTAATTGCTTTACTTTTGATGAAATTAAGTTCCTTCATCTGAATCTAACCTTATGTATTTTTGGGGTAAATCTAAAGTTGTGGCTTGATAAGGCTTTAATCTAAACGTGTGGCTTGATTAATTCTATTGCTATTGCTCACTGGTGTTAATTGTTGTTTGTTTGCGTGAGAAAGAAGTTGCAAATATGGCAGCAAACACCGACCAAGAAATTGCTCCACTAAATGAAAACAAGGACCAACCCGTATTTGAAAAGGGAGTGCTACAAATCCCATATTTTTATGTGAACGACCGAAGTGAAATTTGGATTAGAAACCTGATTGCCTTCGAGCAATGTCAGTATTCAAGAAAGGCATATTTCTGTAGTTATATTCAACTGTTAGACTATCTTGTTGACACAGATAAAGATGTGGATTTATTGATAAATGAGGGGATTTTTGTTAATGATATGGGAAGTAGTGCAGCAGTGGCAAATATGATTAACAACCTCATGACAGGAGTTGTAGCATTTAGTTCGTGTTATCACAAAATCCAAAAGGATTTAAACGAGTATTATGATAATTCTTGGAACCGTACAAAGGCAACCTTGAAGCATGTCTATTTCAACAATCTTTGGAGAGGAACTACTACTGTTGCTGCTTTCATCGTTCGTGGTGGTACTAACTCTCACACAAACCGTATTGGCCATCTTGGATCGAGCAATGCCCACAAAATAAATACTCTTACTTGGTTGTAGTATTCGATTCAATGAAAAATAAATCAATCGTTTCATGTGTGTTAGTGTGTGTTTGTTTTGCACTTTTTAAGTTTATTTGCCTTTTCACTCTGAATGGAAAGAGAATTTGATTTCAAGCTTTCTTGCCCTTATCATGTACTCTTACTAGTAATGACCAATTGTGTGCCTATTAGATTTTGTCATATTTTTATGAGGTCGGCTTGTTCCTTGTATGTAACTACTAACTATGGTAAGACCATGACCCATTCTCTTTCTTTTTTCTTTTTATATTCAAAGGCCATAAAACTTTTTTTACTAATTATTCTTTATTTCCTTTGTTCAAACTAAATTATTAAAGTAAATTCGTGAATTCATTAAATGTGTAACTTGCAACAACTAAAAAAAGTTTTCTGTGAAATGTTAAATAAAACAAAAAAAGAAAAGCTAAGATCTCAAATAGTTTTTCAAGCTTCTATCTTTTAAAGAATAAGAAGAAATTATTATGATTAGAATAGAAAATAAAAAATGAATAATTAGTTACTAGAGGTGATCAAACGCGATTAACATCTTAAAATCTTAAATCCGAACTCAACCATTTAAGTTATATTTATTCTTAAATATAATAGAATTTTATTAATTATTTTAAAATCGTAATTAAAGAAAAATATAATATTTTTGAATCGAGCTGGTAGGGCCTGGGTCTAAAAAATTATGTCCAAGTCTGGCCCAGGTCAGGCCAGACCTAGTGGCCTGGGCTGGTAATCCGTCAAATGGACAGCTCTACTAGACACCTTCCTGTGGTTGGGTTGGGCGGATGTGATGTGAGTTGGAAAGTAAGTGGTAGCCCATAAAATAGAATTGTCCAAATAATGATCCGCATGGCGCCGGCCAACCCAAGCAAGGAAGCTGTGGGAGGAGCAGCAGCTTAGAATGGGGGCAAACTGCACTGAAAGTCTGCGGGAGGAAAACGCAAGCCATGGAGGCGGAGAAGAGCGGCGATGACTGGTGATGGAGAAAGGACCCGCGTCCAAAGCCACTGGTATTGGGCCACAGCAAGCGTGGCCTAGTGCGGATGGGCCCCTGCAAAATCGACCTTTTTTAATGAATAATATTTTTATGGTTAAGAGAACAATGAGCATATGGTGGCAGGAATTAATGCTAGAAAAGTAGAGCATATGGTGAGGAGGGAGTATTACAAATCTCATCTTTTTGCGCTGAGATTGGTTTTAGAAACTATTCAAATGAGATCTATTTTTGTGGTTATATTCAATTATTGGTTTTGCTACAATCAATGAATAATTGTGTCTATTAGATTTTTTTTTTCATATTTTTCTTGAATTGACCTTGTTCTTTTTCCTTGCTACTATCACTCTTATTTTGTTATTCAAAAGCCACAACGTTTCTTCTTAATTACTCTAACTTATAACAATTAAAAAATATTTACACAAAATATTAAAATAAAAAAAATTAAAGATATTTCTTCCAAACTTTGATCTTTTACAAAAAAAATAAAAGATTTTCATAATTAAAAGAAAGAATAAAAAAATAAATTGTCAACCGCTAGAGGTGATCGGATCCGATAGACACCTTGAAAACTTAGACTTATCCATCTATTTAAGTTATATTTTTTATTAAATATTAAAAAAATTAATTTTTATTTTAATATTGTAAAATATATTTTTAAATTTAAATAAAATAAAATAGTAATAATAATATTTTTGAATCCAGCTGAATTAGATCCAAATTTAAAAAATCATATCCAAACCCAACTGAAATCACGGAAGGCCTGCTAACTGGGCTGGTAACATAGCCCGTGGACTACCGCCCGCCTTGAGTTGGGTTGGGAAGCAGCTGGGAAAGGGGGTTAAATTGCCAAGTCAGTGAAAGTATGACGGAGAGGACTAGATTCCCAAGTCATGGTGGTGGGGAATTGATTCTGAATAATCAAGTAGCTCGGTCATTACTCTCTGCCGTATAAAACGGAAACACCAAGACTTGCTAGATCCAGTTGTACTTGCGGCTAAGTGGCTTCATTTTGCCCTTTGAACCTTGAGCTGTTTCTTCTGGTTTGATCCTCTTCCCCTGCCTCATTAGAGGTACGTACTTCTATTCTTAATTTAGAGGGTACTGATTTTATTTATATTTTTTTATCTTTAGCAAATTGCTTCACTCCTTCATCTAGATCTGATCCTAAGTTTTTGTGGTAAGTTTAAAGTTGAACCCTTGTAAGCGCCCCAAAACGAAAGTTGGGGCTTGACTCGATTAGTTCTGTTGCTATTGCTCACTAGTGAGAATTGTGGTTTGTTTTACATGGGAAGGACGCTGCATATATGGCAAACGTCGACCAAGAAACTGCTCCATTAATTGGAAACAACCACCAACCCCAGGATTTGGTAATTGAAATCCCTGTAGAAGTCTTAGAGCTTGCGCCTGAGTGTTGTATTTACAAGGTCCCTAGTCGTTTTCGTGAAGCAAACCAAAAAGCCTACACTCCTCAGTTGATTTCAATAGGGCCTCTTCATCATGGTAACGAAAATTTGGCTACAATGGAACGGCAAAAGCTGAGATATTACAAGAAATTTTCAGAAAGGACTTCCGAGAAGAAATTGAAAGAGTTTGCGAGCTACATTGAAAATCATGCAGAAGGTATATGTAGGTGTTATGAAATCCAATTTATCCTTTTGTTGGAGGCTCCCAAGTTTAAGAAGATAATATTAGATGATGCAGTTTTTATCATTGAGCTCTTCTTGAGGGAAAGTGAAAAAAACTCTGACGATTACTTCTTACGTCGCAAAGCATTGTTAAGAGTCGAACTTCCAACGGATTTGATGTTACTTGAAAATCAGCTCCCGTTCTTTGTCCTTGAAGAACTGTATAACCTAGCATTTCCTAACTCTGATATCTCTTTTCTCGAACTTGCTTGTTGGTACTTCGGTATCCATATCGATCGATCACTGAGAAACAAAGGGATTAAACACTTTACGCATTTAATTAGATACCAAGTAGTGAGTAATAGCCTGCGGAGCATTGATCGGTCGAGAGTCCACAATATCTACAATGCATCGATGTTGCATGAGGCTGGTGTGAAGTTTCTTGGTGTTAAAAGTGGTATATTTAAGATTGGTAAGAGTGCAATTAATAATACTATAAACAGCTTGCTTGACGTAGACTTTGAGAAGGGAGTGCTAAAACTCCCAGTTATTGATGTGGCGTTCGAAACTGAGACTCGTTTTAGAAATCTGATGGCCTTCGAACAATGTCACTATCCACATAAAGCTCACTTTTGTAGTTATATTCAGTTATTAGACTCTCTTATTGACACTTGTGAAGATGTAGATTTACTGGTAAGGAAAAGAATTATTGTCAATAGATTGGGTAGCGGTGCAGCTGTGGCAGATATGATTAACAATCTTGCAGTGGGAATTGTACATTCAAGTATGCTCTATGGCAAAATCGGACATGATCTAAACCAGTACAATGATAATTCTTGGAATCATAGATGGGCAGCCTTGAAGCATGTCTATTTCAACAATCTTTGGAGAGGAACTGCGACTATTGCTGCTTTTATTGTGGTGGTACTCACTCTTATACAAACTGTATTGGCAATCTTGGAACGAGTAAAGCCCACAAAATAAAATCTGTCTTTTTATTTGTACTAATTTGTGTTTATTTCCAACTTGTACATTTATTTGCTTGACCGTTTGAGTAGAAGGGTGGTTTGGTTTCGAATTTTGTTGCTTTTATCAGGGAACAATTGTATTCCTATTAGATTTTATTATATTTTTGTGGGATTGGACTGTTTCTATTCCAAACCCACAGCTTTGTTTACTAATTACTTTCTTTTTATTCAAAGTAATTGTATTAAAATAAAACTTTAGAATCCATCAAACGTCAAACTTGTAATAACTAAGAAAGTATACACGAAATTTTAAAATAAAAAAAAATCAAGATCTCAAATGATTTTTTTCAAACTTATATCACTAAAAAACCAAGTCTCATAATCAAAAGAGAGAATGAAAAATAGACAACTTATCCCTAAAGGTTATTGGGTCTGATTGATTCCTTGAAAACTTAAACCCAACTCACCCATTTTATATATTTATTATTATTGAATATAAAAAATATTTTTACATTAGAATTTTAAAATATATTTTAGAATTAAAATGAAATAAAATATAATATTTATTAATAAAAAAAACAGTATTCTTGGGTCAAGTCGTGTAGAACCTGAGCCTAGAAGATCATATCCAGGCCTGCCTGTAGGATCAGGCCTGCAGGCTATGGCTGATAACTCGGCTCATGGAGAGCTTCCACCAGCCACCCTCTTGTGGTTGGGTTGGGTTGGGCTTATTTGAACATTGTAAAAATAAACCCAGGATCCTACTCTGGTAATGGTGTATAAAAATAGTCAACAATAACTTAAGTCCTGTACAAGAGAAATTAAATACAACGATGTTGCGTGAGGTTGATGTTAAGCTTTTTGGTGTTAAAATTGATATATTTAAGATCGATAAGAGTGCAATTAACAATACTATAAACATCTTGCTTAATGTAGAATTTGAGAAAGGGGTGCTAAAACACTCAATTATTGATGTGGTGTACGAAATAGAAACTCGTTTTAGAAACTTGATGGCTTTCAAATAATGTCACTATTCATGTGAGGTTCATTTTTGTAGTTATATTCAATTATTATACTCTCTAGTTGATACTGATGAGGATATAGATTCATGGGTAAAAGAAGAGATAATTGTCAATAGATTGGGTTGCAATGCAGCTGTGGCAAATATGATTAACAATCTTACGGTGGGAGTCGTACGTTCAAGTTTTCTCTATGGCAAAATTGGAATGCGTCTATACTAGTATTATGATAATTCTTGTAATTATAGAATGGTAACTTTAAAGCATGTCTATTTCGACAATTTTTGAAGAGGAATTGCAACTGTTGCTGCTTTCATCATGGTGGTACTCTTACTTAATTGCAGTTTTCTATTCAATTAAAGTGAAAATCATCCTTTGCATGTGTGTTAATTTGTGTTTAATTCACATTTTTAAGGTTATTTACCTTACCACTTTGAGTAGAAGGGGAGTTTGTTTTCAACCTTCGTAACTTTTATCATGTACTGCTACAATCGATGAACAATTGTGTGCCTATTAGATTTTATCATATTTTTATGGGATTGACTTGTTTCTTGTATGTATCACTCTTCTTGTATTTTTGTTTTTTTTTTCATTAAAAAAAATCATAACTTTCCGTACTAATTATTCCTTTTTTCTTTTGTTAAAAGTATTAAAATTAACAATTAAGAAACTTTACACGAAATGTCAAAATAAACAAAAAAAAAAATCAACTTAATACTCTGTGTGGTGCATAAACATTTGTCTGCTACATTTCTTTCTTCAAGCTTCCTACTCTTTGCAGCTAAGGTTGCTCAACTTCTTCCTCTGTTTTTCTTTTATATTCGCAACTTCTTGGCTTCCTTATCTGCATAATATCAAACAATTAGCATTTGCATTACGCAAAGTTATATATGGCAGGTGGTTGGGCCGCGGTTCAACAAAATGTCAGTTATGATTTTGTGAAGGAGTTTTGATTCTGCTGGAGAAGGTGAGCTAATCTGAACAAACAAGTAAGGTATGCTTCCATTTGTGGTCTGTTTTGTCCTTGAACATTTCGGTAAAAACTTTCCCAGCTCCATGTGGTCCACGAATATAGAAACTAACCTGTCTGGAATTGGTAAAGAAGCAATCACAAATAAAAGTTTCAACATGAGAGATCTAGGACTCAACCATCTTTTCTTTTGATGAAGGGAGCCTGCTCTGTGGAGGGGTTATCTCAGAAAAACACTACAAAAATTTACTATGAAAAATGTGGGGCTGCATATGCTTTTTCCCTTTGCCTTTGTGGCAAGGTACATTGAATTTTAGGCGCGCAGTTCCTGGAGTAATTCAATTATGCAATGATCAACCAGCTGCTCCCCTGATAAAAAAAATCATTTCATTAAATATGTTTACAAAAACTACCATTCTATGGTGGTAGTGCAGCCAATGAGCCGAAACATGTTGGACATTGATTTCTCCACTATGGCTTGTAAAAATGGATTGGAATTGAATGAAAGAAATTGTTTCGCCACATGTTTTGTTGATATGAGGGTGGAAGAACTCCTCCTGTTAGGCTAGTATTAAGTCGCATGGAGAGCCAAGTGTAGGTAGAATTTGGGTCGGACCCATGCTTTCACTCAGCCAGGTCTAGCGAGTCCCACAGACAATTGTGATTCACGGATGCAAGGGACCGACTCAGGGTGGAGATAGGACCCACATCCACAGCCACGGACCTGACAACTAACAACAACCAAGCAATAATTTTTTGTACGAAAGATGGGACTCGTAGACGACTTGTTCGATCCAAGGATGGAACTTGAGAAACAAGGTGAGCATTTTCCTATATTACATTTGAGAGAACTTTGTTTATTACTCTCGTCAAGACTTACCGGAACCAGTTGCATTCAATACCGAAACCAAGTTGGTTCATCTCGCATTTTGAACCTTGAGCTGTTTCTAGTGGTTTGATCCTTTTCTTCATCATCAGAGGTATGTACTTCTATTCTTATGACGGTTTTGATTTTATTTATATTTTATCTTTAGCTAATTGCTTCACTTTTAATGACATCAAGTTCTTTCATCTGAATCTAACCCTATGTTTTTTGGGATAAATCTAAAGTTGTGGCTTGATAAGGCTTTAATCTGAACTTGTGGCTTGATTAATTCTATTGCTATTGCTCATTGATGTTAATTGTCGTTTGTTTACATGAGAAGGAAGTTGCATATATGGCAGCAAACACCGACCAAGAAATTGCGCCAGTAAATGAAAACGACGACCAACCCGAAGATTCAGCAATTGACATCCCTGAAGAAGACTTAGAGCCTGGGCCTGAGTGTTGTATTTACAAGGTTCCCAGACGTTTTCGTGCAGGAAACGAAGAAGCCTACACTCCTCACTTGATTTCAATTGGGCCTACTCATCACGGTGACCGAAATTTGGCTCCAATGGAGTCTCAAAAGAAGAGATATTACGATAAATTTGTGCGAAAGACTTCGGAGAAAACATTGAAAGATTTCAAGGGCTCTATTGAACTGAATGTAAAACGTATAGACAGGTGTTACGACGTCCAATCTATCTATATGTTGGAGGCTTCCCAGCTTATTGAGATAATATTCCATGATGCAGTTTTTATCATTACGCTCTTCTTGAGGGATTGGGCGAGGAAACAAGAATTCCCCGACGGGGACTACAACCGTGTTGAGGAGGAGGATGACTACCACGACTTAAACCAAAGTGCATTGGTAAGAGTTAAACTTCTAACGGATCTGCTGTTACTTGAAAATCAACTTCCGTTCTTCGTCCTTGAAGATCTATATAAGTCAGTTTTTCTTTCCTTCGATGAATACTCTTCTCTTGATCTTGCTAAGCTAGCCTCCAATGAATACTGTTTTCTTGATCTTGCTTGCTCGTACTTCGGTATCAAAAAAGATCCATCATTCGAGAAAAAAAAGATTAAACATTTTACGGATTTAATTAGATATCAAGTGCTAAGGGATTGTCCAACGTTGGACAATGATATACCAATAGGAAACTACAACATATACAGCGCAACGAAATTACGTGAGGCTGGTGTTAGGTTTAAATGTACTACAGTTAAAGATGATTTTCGTGTTATATTTAATGGCGTTTCATATAATTGTAATAAGATTGGTGATTTTGACCTTGAAGGTTCTGGGATGATCAATAAGGTTATGGATGATGTGCTCGGATCCACTAAGTACAGCTTGCTTGAGGTAGAATTTAAGAAGGGAGTGCTAAAATTGTTAGCTATTGATGTGGAGTACGAGACTGAGATTCGTTTTAGAAACTTGATGGCTTTTGAACAATATCACTATCCAAAAAAAGCTTATTTTTGTAGTTATATTAAACTATTGGACTCTCTTGTTGATACTAGTGAAGATGTAGATTTATTGGTAAAAGAAGGGATCATTGTCAATAGATTGGGTAGCAGTGAAGCTGTGGCAAAAATGATTAACAAGCTTGCGGTGGGAGTTGTACATTCAACTTTGCTCTATGGTGAAATCGGTACGGAACTAAACGGACATTATAAAAATTCTTGGAACCGTACAATGGCAACCTTAAAGTATGTCTATTTTAACGATCTTTGGAGAGGAACTGGGACTATTGCTGCTTTCAGCGTGGTGATACTCACTCTCATACAAACCGTATTGGCAATCTTAGAAAAAGCAGCACCCACAAAATAAATACTCCCTACTTTGAAAGCAGTCTTCAATTCAATGAAAGATAAAGCTAATCTTTTTACGAGTGTGTTTTGCTCTTTTAAGTTTATTTGCCTTTCCACTTTGAGTGAAATGGGAGTTTGCTGCTCTTATCATGTACTGCTACTATCAATGGATAATTGTCTGCTTAATTATTTCATTTTATCATATCTTTATTCGATTGGCTTGTTCTTTGTATGTAATTACTAACTAGTAGTAAGATTTTTTTATATGGTATCACTCATTCTTTTTCTTTTTGCTTTTTATATTCAAAGGTCCCAACTTTTTGTACTAATTAGCCCCTAAAGTATTAAAATAAACACCTGAATTTATCAAATGTGTAACTTGTCATGATTAAAAAAGTTTTATACAAAATATTAAAATAAACAAAAATAATCAAGATCTCAATCTTTTTCAAATTTCTTTCTTTTAGAAATATTTTTTTAAAATTAAAAAAAAATAAAAAATGAATAGTCAGTCATTAAAATTGACACTTTAAAAATTTAAATGGAACTCACTCATTTAAGTTATATTGATTATTAAATATAAAACAATTTTATATTACTTTTTTAAAATATATTTTATAATTAAAATAAAATAAAATATTTATTAATATAATAATATTTTTTGGTTGAGCGGGGTTGGATTCGGACTTAAAAATCTAAGTCCGCCCAAGTTGGGTCTGATCTAGGCTGGTAACTCGGGCCCCTGGACAGCTCTATCAACCACCCTCCTGTGGTTGAGTTTGGCTGATATTAAGTTGAGTTTAGCTGATATTACCATCGTTTACATTATAGAAATCTTTCATCACCTCCTTGACAAATGAAATCTCACTTTGATAGGTACCATCTCCTGTGCACTGTTCCCTTTCTTTCGAAACCTCACATTCTAAACAATATAAGCTATTATAGAAATTCCCTTGGACCATGTTGTCTTTTGTAGTTATATTCAATTACTAGAGGCTCTTCTTAACACTAGTGAAGATGTATATTTACTAGTAAAGAAAAGAATCATTGTCAACAAATTAGGTAGTAGTGCAGTTGTGGCAGATATGATTAATAATCTTGTGGTGGGAATTGTACATTGAAGTATGATCTATGGCAAAATCGGATATGATCTAAACCAGTACAATGATAATTCTCAGAATCATAGATGGGTAGCCTTGAAGCATATCTATTTCAACAATCTCTAGAGAGGAATTGTGACTGTTGCTACTTTTATTGTGGTGGTACTCACTCTTACACAAACTATATTGGCTATCTTAGAACGAGTAATGCCCATAAAATAAAATCAGTATTTTTACTTCTACTAATTTGTGTTTATTTCCAACTTCTACATTTATTTGCTTGACCGTTTGAGTAGAAGGCTGGTTTGGTTTCGAACTTTGTTGCTTTTATCAGGGAACAATTGTATTCCTATTAGATTTTATCATATTTTTATCGGATTGGATTGTTTCTATTCGAAACCCATAGCTTTCCTTATTAATTACTCTCCAAAGTAATCGTATTAAAATAAAATTTTAGAATCCATCAAACGTCAAACTTGTAATAACTAAGAAAGTTTACATGAAATTTTAAAATAAAAAAAAATCAAGATCTCAAATGGTTTTTTCCAAACTTATATCACTAAAAATACAAGTCTCATAATTAAAAGAGAGAATGAAAAATAGACAACCGATCACTAAAGGTAATTGAGTCTGGTTAATTCCTTGAAACTTAAACCCAACTCACCCATTTTATATATATTTTATTATTAAATATAAAAAATAATTTTACATTAGAATTTTAAAATATGTTTTAGAATTAAAATGAAATAAAATATAATATTTATTAATAAAAATAACAGTATTCTTGGGTCAAGCCATGTAGAACCTGGCCCTAGAAGATCATATCCAGGCCTGCCTGTCAGATCAGGCCTGCAGGCTATGGCTGATAACTCGGCTCATGGAGAGCACCACCAGCCACCCTCTTGTGGTTGGGTTGGGCTGATATGAACTTAAGCTGGTAAGTGTTTGCCCATTAAAAAGAAGGGTCCAAATAATAATCCGCATGGCGCTGGTCAACCCAATCAAGGAAGCAGTGCGAAGTGCGGCAGCTTAGCAGGGGGGCAAATTGCGAAGTCAGTGAAAGTCTGAAGGAGGAAGAGACAATTCACGGTGGTGGAGAATTGATTCTGCTGGGGAAGGTGAGTTACTCTGAACAATCAAGTCATTAAGCTTCCATTTCTGGTCTGTTTTGTCCTTGAACGTTTTGGTAAAAGGTTTTCTAGCTTCATGTGGTCAACGAATAGAGAAATAACCTGTTTTGAATTGGTTAATAGAAAATGACTAATCAAAATTTCAACATGGGAGATCTATGACTCCACAATGTTTTGTTTCTTTTGTTGAGTTGGAGCCTGGTCTGTGGAGTGGTTATATCAGAAAAACGCTACAAAATTGCAATGTTGACTAATGTTCCATGGCCTCTTCGCTGCACTTTCCATACAATTATCTGCATGATTCATGGCCTCTTCCCTGTTCTACTGGTGACAACAACATATACCATGCAAAGTAGATTTAACAATATATGCTGTACATGTGAGTATTTTCAGGAGTAAGAAGCAGAAGAGAGCACATGATTTTGACTGTCCTTCCAGAGTTGCACAGAATGGTACTTGTTGGATGATGGCTGTTTTCTAGTTGATGCAGTAAAGGAACGGCTGTGATGTTTTTCCGACTTCTGAGATATGTTTTGTACATCGTGACTTCATTTCTGACAATGTAGGGTTGTTAATTCCCTGTTTGTGGGCTACAATTTTTGATGACCCCCAATTATTATCCAAAAATAAATGACTGGAGAAGTGTGCCTAGTGATGTCAAATCTCCGTATAAAGTATTGAAAGAGCAATAACTTTTTGTCACATGCAAAAGGACAAGGAAAACCCAATAATTTGTTCGAGGATTGACTGGTAGACGACTTGTGCAATCAAAGGATGGCTCTTAAAAATAAGGTGGCATTTTCCTCTGTTAAATTGAGAGAAGGTTGTTCATTACTCCCGCCGTATAAAACTGAATCGCCAAGATTAGCCGGATCCAGTTGTACTCAATACTTTGCAACTAAGTTGGCTCGTTGTGCACTTGAACCTAGGGCTGTTTGCTGTTTCATACTGGTTTGATCCTCCTTTGCAGCATTAGAGCTACGTACTTCTATTCTTAATTTAGAGGCTATTGATTTTATTTATTTATTTGATCTTTAACAAATTGCTTCACTTTTGATGAAATTAAGATGTTTCATGTGGATCTGGTCCCAAGTTTTGTGGTAAATCTAAAGTTGAACCTTAGCAAGTGTCCCAAGACACAAAACTGGGGCATGATTAATTCTGTTGCTATTGCTCACTAGTGAGACTTGTCGTTTGTTTTACATGAAAAGGATGTTGCAAAATATGGCGAACACCGATCAAAAAAGTGCTCCACTAATTGAAAACATCTGCCAACCCAAGATTTGGAAATTGAAATCCCTGCAGAAGTCTGAGAGCTTGTGCCCGAGTGTTGTATTTAAGGTCCTAGTCGTTTTCATGAAGCAAACCAACAAAGCCACACTCCTCAATGATTTCAATCGGCCCATATATTCACCATGAAAATGAAAAATTTGGCTCAAATGGAACGGCAAAAGCTGAGGTATTACAAGAAATTTTGGAAAGGACTTCCGAGGAGACTTGAAAAGTTTGTCAGCTACATCGAAAATCATTACATGATGCAGTTTTTATCATTGAGCTCTTCTCGAGGGAAAGTAAAAAATTCCGCGACGACTTCTTCTTAAGCCACAAAGCATTGTTAAGAGTTGAACTCAATATTTGATGTTACATTCTTTGTCCTAAAGAACTATATAACTAGCATTTCCTAAGTCTGATATCTCTTTTCTCGAACTTTCTTGCTGGTACTTCATGTCCATATAGATTGATCATTGAAGGAAAAGGGATTAAATGCATTACGGATGTAATAAATATCCAGTAGAGAGTAACCCATTGCGACACATGATATCGTTGAAAACTTACAACATCTAAAATGCAACGATGTTGCGTGAGGTTAGTGTTAAGTTTATTGGTGTTAAAAATGGTATATTTAAAATTGATGAGAGTACAATTAATAATACTATAAACAGCTTCCTTAATATAGAATTTGAGAAAGGGGTGCTAAAACACTCAATTATTGATGTGGCGTACGAAATGAAATTCGTTTTAAAAACTTGATGGCTTCGAATAAGCCACCATCTACATAAGGTTCATTTTTATTGTTATATTCAATTACTAGAGTCTTTAGTTGATATTGATAAAGATGTATATTCATTGGTAAAAGAAGAGATTATGTCAATAGATTAGGTTGCAGTGCAACTGTGGCAAATATAATTAACAATCTTGCAGTGGGAATCGTACATTCAAGTTTTCTCTATGACAAATTGGAATGCGTTTAAATTAGTGTTATGATAATTCTTGTAATTGTAGAATGGTAACTTTAAAGCATGTCTATTTTAACAATTTTTGAGAGGAGCTGCAACTGTTGTTGCTTCCATCAATTTTAACAATTTTGGTGGTACTCACTCTCACACTAGCCATACTGACAATTTTAGCTTGAGCAAAGCCCATAAAATAAAAGACTCTTACTTAATTGCAGTTTTCTATCAATTAAAGTGAAAATCAGCCTTTTCATATGTGTTAATTTGTGTTCAATTCACATTTTAAGGTTATTTACCTTAGTGGGAGAGTTTGTTTTCAACCTTCGTAGCTTTTACATGTACTGCTACTATCGATGAACAATTGTGTGCCTATTAGATTTTATCATATCTTTATGGTATTGCTGTTTCTTGTATGTGGCTGTTATTACCCTTCTTTTATTTTATTCGATAAAAAAAAGTCATAACTTTCCGTACTAAATTATTCCTTTTCACTTTTGTTAAAAGTATTAAATTTAACATTAAGAAACTTTACACGAAATGTTTAAATAAACAAAAAAAAAAAAATCAACTTCATACCCTGTGTGGTGCATAAACATTTGTCTGCTGCATTTTTTTCTTCAAGCCCTACTCTTTGAAGCTAAGGTTGTACAACTTCTTCCTCTGTTTTCTTTTATATTCGCAACTTCTTTGCATCCTATCTGCATAATTTCAAACAATTAGCATTTGCATTACGGAATGGTTTATATATGGCAGGGGATGTTTGGGCCACGGTTCAACAAAATGTCAGTTAGGATTTTGTGAAGGAGTTTTGATTCTGCTGGAGAGGGTGAGCTAATCTGAACAAACAAGTAGGTATACTTCCATTTGTGGTCTGTTTTGTACTTGAACATTTCGGTAAAAACTTTCCCAGCTCCATGTTGTCCACGAATATAGAAATTAATCTGTCTTGAATTGGTAAAGAAGCAATCACAAATCAAAGTTTCAACATGAGAGATCTAGGACTCAACCATCTTTTCTTTTGATGAAGGGAGCCTGCTCTGTGGAGGGGTTATCTCAGAAAAACACTACAAAAATTCACTATGAAAAATGCGGGGCTGCATATGCTTTTACCCTTTGCCTTTGTGGCAAGGTACATTGAATTTTAGGCGCGCAGTTCCTGGAGTAATTCAGTTATGCAATGATCAACCAGCTGCTCCCCTGATAAAAAAAATGAGTTGGAATCTTTTTTGAAGAGTAAAAGATATATCATTTCATTAAATATGTTTACAAAAACTACCATTCTACGGTGGTAGTGCAGCCAATGAGCCGAAACATGTGGGACATTCATTTCTCCACTATGGCTAGAAAAAATGGATTGGAGTTGAATGAAAGAAATTGTTTCGCCACATGTTTTGTTGATACGAGGGTGGAAGAACTCCTTCTGTTAGGCTAGTATAAATTCGCATGGGAGCCAATTGTAGTAGAATTTGGGTCGGACCCATGCTTTCACTCAGCCAGGTCTAGCGAGTCCAGACAGAATGATTCACGGTGCATGGGACCGATTCAGGGTGGAGATAGGATACCTGCATCTAAAGCCACGGACAGGACAACTAGCAAGCAATAATTTTTTGTACGAAAGATTGAGTCGTAGACGACTTGTTCGATCCAAGGATGGACTTAAGAAACAAGGTGGGCGTTATCCTATTATTACATTTGAGAGAACTTTGCTCATTACACTCGTCAAGACTTACCGGAACCAGTTGTATTCAATACCGAACCAAGTTGGTTCATCTGGCACTTTGAACCTTGAGCTCTTTCTACTAGTTTGTTTTTTTCTTCAGCATCAGAGGTGCACTTCTACTCTTATCAGAGTTTTGATTTTATTTATATTTTATCTTTAACTAATTGCATCACTTTTGATGAAATTAAGTTCCTTCATCTGAATCTAACCCTATTTTTTCTTGGGGTGAATCTAAAGTTGTGGCTTGATGCTTTAATCTAAACTTGTGGCTTGATTAATTCTATTTCTATTGCTCACTAGTGTTAATTGTCGTTTGTTTACATGAGAAGGAAGTAGCATATATGGCAGCAAAAACGGACCAAGAAATTGCTCCACTGAATGAAAGCAACGACCGGCCCAAAGATTTGGCAATTGATATCCCCGAGGGAGACTTAGAGCCTGGGCCTGAGCGTTGTATTTTCAAGGTCCCTAGACGTTTTCGTGCAGGAAACGAAGAAGCCTACACTCCTCACTTGATTTCAATAGGACCTATGCATCATGGTAACAAAAATTTGGCTCAAATGGAGTTTCAAAAGAAGAGATATTACGACAAATTTTTGCTATCCGCTTCTCAGGAGAGATTGACAGAATTTCATGGATACGTCAAATGGAATTTAAGACGTATACGCAGGTGTTATGACATCCAATCTATCTATAAGTTGGAGGCTTCCCAGCTTATTGAGATAATACTATGTGATGCAGTTTTTATCATTACCCTCTTCTTGAGGGATTTGAAGAAAAAACAAGAATCCACCAAGGAGGACTACAAAGACGATGAGGAGGATGTCTACTTCGACTTCTTAAACCAAAGTGCATTGTTAAGAGTTAAACTTCTAACGGATTTGATGTTACTTGAAAATCAACTTCCGTTCTTCGTCCTTGAAGATCTATATAAGCTAGCTTTCCTTACCTCCAATGAACCCTCTTTTCTCGATCTTGTTTGCTTGTACTTCGGTGTCAATAAAGATCCATCATTCGAGAAAAAGAAGATTAAACACTTCACGGATTTAATTAGATATCAAGTGCTGAGGGCCTGTCCGTTGAACACAAGTACTACAGGAAGCCATTTTCGTGTAGGAAGCCACAACATGCACAGCGCAACGAGGTTGCATGACGCTGGTGTTGAGTTTAAATGTGCTGTAGTAAATGATGAATTTGGTGTTATGTTTAATGGTGTTTCATATAATTGTTATAAGATTGGTGGTCTTGAGTATGAAGGCGTTGAGCTTATAGATATGCTTATGGATGATATGCTCAAATCTACTACGTACGGCTTGCTTCAGGTACGATTTGAGAAAGGAGTGCTAAAATTGTTAACTATTGATGTGGAGTACGAGACTGAGATTCGTTTTAGAAACTTGATGGCTTTCGAACAATATTATTATCCAAAAAGGGCATATTTTTGTAGTTATATTAAACTATTAGATTCTCTTGTTGACACTAGTGAAGATGTAGATTTACTAGTAAAGGAAGGGATTATTGTCAATAGATTGGGAAGCAGTGTAGCTGTGGCAAATATGATTAACAATCTTGCGGTGGGAGTTGTACATTCAACTCTGCTCTATGGTGAAATCGGTATGGAGCTAGGCTGGCATTATAAAAATTCTTGGAATCGTCGATGGGCAACCTTGAAGCATGTCTATTTCAACGATCTTTGGAGAGGAACTGCGACTGCTGCTGCTTTCACCGTGGTGATACTCACTCTCATACAAACTGTATTGGCAATCTTAGAAAAAGCAATGCCCACAAAATAAATAATCCTACTGGACTGCAGTCTTCGATTCAATGAAAATTCAAATTAATCTTTTTATGTTTGCTAATTTGTGTGTGTTTTGCTCTTTTAAGTTTATTTGCCTTCCCACTTTGAGTGTAAGGGGAGCTTGCTGCTCTTATCATGTACTGCTACTATCAATGAATAATTGTGTGCTTCTTTCATTTTATCATATCTTTATTCGATTGGCTTGTTCCTTGGATGTAATTACTAACTAGTAGTAAGATTTTTTTATATACTATCACTCATTCTTTTTCTTTTTGCCTTTTATATTCAAAGGTCCTAACTTTTGGTACTAATTATTTCGTTATTTTTTCTTTTGTTCAAAGCAAAGTATTAAACACCTGAATTCATTAAACATGTAACTGGTGACGATTAAACAAGTTTTATACAAAATATTAAATAAACAAAAGTAGTCAAAATCCCAATTTTTTTCAAACTTCTTTCTTTTAAAAATTTTTTTGACTAAAAGAAATAAAAAATGAATAGTTGGTCATTAAAAGTGATTAGGTTTAATTGATACTTTGAAAATTTAAGTCGAACTCATTCATTTAAGTTATATTGATTATTAAATATAAAAATAATTTTATATTAATATTTTAAATATATTTTATAATTAAAATTAAATAAAAATATAATATATTAATATAGACATGTGCAATCTAAACGTTGTAATTTTGTTTTTATAATTTCATTTGAACAGGTGGAAGTTTTGATGGAATTGGGCGCAAGCATAAGAACTGGACCTGGAATTGGTCCAAGGGTAGGGGATGAATGAGTTTTATTACCCTTGGTTTAAGCCCATATTTCTTTCTGGGTTTTCGTTTTTCTTTCCTTTTCAGTGTCTTATATGGGTACTGTGGTTCAGCTCTGCATCTTTATCTGCATAATTATCAAGCAGTTAACTCTACTCTCAGTCTCTGTCATTCATTTTCTTAAGAAAGATGAACTTTAGTCTCTGCCATTCATTTATCATACGTTAAGAACTTACTTTCCTATTTTTGTTAATATAGAAACTGTGACAATTTTGCACTACTTGAATCCATTTCTTCGATGTCTCTTAATTACTTTCAAAATATATTGTGAGGTCCACGAATGAGAAACAAAGGGAAACGTTGTTATTCTTTAATGAAAGTTTTTTTTTTGGTGTAAAAAGAGAGAATTATGTCAAAAATTCTAAATCAAAATTCAAACATTTTTCATTAGTTTTTAATTTGTTAAAAATATTGGCTGTTAGTCACCCTTATATTTACCTAAACCAAAGATATAGAATAATGTACTGTCTCATAATGTGAACTAGAAGGAGCCGAAAAATAATATTTTCCTGGAAAAATTGACCCTTTTCAATGAATAATATTTTATGGTAAAGAGGACAAAGGCCATATATTCCTCCTGAAAGAGACCTGACAAGCGTTCAATGTTCTAGATTAATGTGAGCAATAAAGTTTCTAAGTTACATGTAGCTACTAACTACCAAGTATTAGGAAGGTGTAGAATTTAAACTAAATAATAATTTAGGGTAGTTAGAAGACTTGTGTAATCAAAGGACAAGATTTAAAGAAACAAGGGGGGCGCTTTCCTCTGCTAGATTTGAGAGAACCTTGTTCAACACTCTCGGTTTGTACAAAATTGCAGCATCAAGAATTTCGGGATCCTGTTGTACTCAATAACCCAACTAAGCTGGTTCATTTCGCACTTTAAACCTCGAGCTGTTTCTCTTGATCCTCCTCCTCTTCAGCATCAGTGGTACGTTCTTATATTCTTATGACGGTATTGATTTTCTTTACTTTTATCTCTAACTAATTGCTTCACTTTTGATGAAATTGAGTTGCTACATCTATATCTGACCTTAAGTTTTTATTGAAATAAATCTAAAGTTGGGGCTTAACAAGTATCCCAAAATTAAAGTTTGAACTCTCTGTCGGACTGAATAAGGCTTAAATCTTTGATTAATTCTACTGCTATTGCTAACTAGTGAGGAGTATTGTCGTTTGTTTACATAAGAAGGAAAGTTGCAAGTATGGCAAAGACCAACCAAAGCATGCAAGTTTGCAATCAAAATACCCTAATCTTTAAATCCCATATAAAACATAAAACTACTTAAGTGATCTTTTAATAGAATCTTGCCTTTATTGCAATCAAAACGCCCTAATTTTTAAATTAAAAATCCATACAATGAGGCATCGAAATTCCAAAACATACCATATATATCATCACCCAAAAAAAATAAAAAAATTATCAAAAGATTGTTTTAAGAAGATTGTAATTTCTTTGTTTCACTTAATGTTATTATAGTTTGTTTTATTTGATATGTTATGGTAAGTGTCAATTTTTATTGATATTTAATAAAATTTTTATTCGATCCAGAAAACTATAAAATCAAACAAGTGTTCTTCATGATACCAAAAATCTTGGTGGTAGTTCTCGTGGTACATTCTGGGATCGAGCACTTCCGTAAGAGCTTGCCGTCTTTGAACTGTTAAGCATAGATTTTGTCTAAACTTCAAAGCACCCCAGCCGTTCCTTCAATCTCTCTTTCTTCCTCTCACTATATACAAAATTTCTTGCTACAATAATCTTACATATACTGTTGTATTGTCAAGGTTAAGAAAGTGAAAAAGAAGAAAAATGCTGCCATATCAAACCCTTGAAGAAGCAGCGTTCGCTCTAGGAAGAAACCTAACCCTGGCGGAGAGACTATGGTACAACTATTCAGCTCAGAAATCGGACTTCCTCCTTTACAGTCACAATACTCTTTTCATGATCTTGCTGTTCTCCTTGGTCCCTCTCCCCTGTGCGTTCATGGAGCTGAGTCAGTCAAAGAGAATGGCCAAGTTCAAGATTCAACCCAACATCAAAAGATCATTCTCCGACATGTTTAATTGTTATAAACATGTTATGAAGATGTTTGCTTTTCTGTTGGGTCCTCTCCAATTCGTTTCCTTCCCTGCCATCAAGGTATGACGAACTGTAGATTGAAGCGACATGGGACAGTCAACGCTTTCTCTCGTACCCAGACAGAATCTTTCTCCTCGTTGTTCTTCTTTTTTTGTTCATTTACGTTTCTGGGTGTTTATGCAGTGGGTTGGGATTCATACAAGCTTGCCATTACCGTCGTTGTGGGAGGTTTTAAGTCAGTTGTTGGTTTACTTCCTTATAGAAGATTACGCCAGTTACTGGTTTCATCGGCTGCTGCATACCAAATGGGGCTACGATAAAATCCACTACATGCACCATGAATACCTAGCTTCGTTTGGATTTACAGCTCTTTATGCCCACTGGGCTGAAATTTTGATATTTGGTATTCCAACATCTCTTGGTCCGGTCATGGTTCCATGCCACATGATCGCACTCTACCTTTGGACCAGTTTTCGCCTTGTCGAGGCCATCGACGCGCACAACGGGTAAATTTACATAATACATACGAAGCTGACATTTTTTCTACCAATTTTTCTTATTTTATTTATTACTTTTTTCGTAGATTCATCATCACCCTTTCATATATACGTGATTTTATCATTGATTGTTCATTTTCACATAAGTAAAAGTAATTGAAAAAAATTTCAATTGAGTGGAGACTAACTAACCCCGTTTATACTTAGCTTATACCCTATCCTTTTGATAAATATTTCATTGATTTGACATTTTTATCAAATATTTTGAGCTATGACTTTAATTGTTATGAAATATTGTGTCATTAAATAAATTTGAACAATATATCATTCCGTTTGTCTTTCTTTTCTTTGTTCATTTTCTTTTTGGAATGTTTCGAAATGATGTATTTCCTTTTCTTAGGACACTTAGTATTTTTACTCTTTTTTATATAATAAATATATTTTCATGATATAAAAATTAACAAGTGAAATTTTTATTAATAACAGTTAATCAACTGTTAGTTATAAGAATCTATATAATCTAAAATAGAAATACATAAATTTGATTAAAGGTAGTAAAAAAGAAAAATTTATTTAAAATTTTCTAAATAGTTCAAGGATTTTTTAAAAGCATTATGCTAAAACCTTTTCAAATTGTAATATTAGGTATGACGAAATCAAAATTTTATCTTAATCTTGATGAAAGTCAAAAGAGACAAATATTTAAAGATGAACAGAGTACTTAGATAAAATAGATGGACTGACTATTTTTATAAAATTATATTTCTGTATAAATTTTGTAATAGCTGAGTTCTCTTTAATTTCCTTCCTTTTTGTATTGTGCATATATATATGAACCATAATGATACAAGGTTTGAGTTTCCTTGGAGTCCGACCAAATTCATACCATTTTTCGTTGGTGCGGAGTACCATGATTATCATCACTATGTTGGGGGACAAAGTCGGAGCAATTTTGCTTCGGTTTTCACCTACTGCGATTTTATCTATGGGACAAATAAGGTCTGTCTCTATATATACAAATTATAATTAACATTTACTTTTTGGTTCATTTGCCTATGATAAATCTGACTTCTTTTCACTAATTCATGAATTGAATTCAGGGATACCGCCATCGCAAGCAAGCCCATGAAAAGGTATTCCATAACCACAATAGGCATGTGTAGTAAGCAAATTGTTAATGAAAGATTTGGGATTGCAGATTTATGTTGATAAATTGATCCTAAATGGTGTGAGTAATATGCTTATCTTGACTTACTTTGTTCAGTTTTTCATGTAATCTGATAAAATAATTATTTCATATATTGAAGATTTAATGGGATTTAAAGATTAAATTTAAATTAACTATAACAAATTGACATGTATTAGCTATAAACCGGTCAAGGCATATATGCTAGTGCAAAGAAAACAAGAATAATTTTAAGAATTTTCCATTATAATATTTTTAACAGATGGTAATTTGTAGTTATTCATGATATCTAAAAGTGAAATAGCTAGCTAGCTATGAGGAAAATGTGTAACTTAATATTGCAGAACAATTAAATTCAATATAATTAGACTAATGTTTGTCCACTTTGAAATTAATGATGCTATATATACTTCTAGAATCTAATTTACTCTGTGTAGTTGAAGGGCAAGTGAGGAAGTGGCAGTAAACATAGTGGAAATACATAAGGACATCTCTTCATTGAAAGGCTTCAAGTGAGAGTAGCAGTCAGGGTTCATTGAATAAATACGCACTCTCTCATCTAAATTATAGTTAGATCATAGACTTTTTTTTTAAAAAAAAAAAATTATTTTTCCTTTAACATTTCTCTATCTCATTATGTATATGCCTCTCTTTTTTTTATTTACTAGTTGTTATTTGCAAACATAATAATAAACTTTACCAAACAATGACTTTGGTTTATGACATCAACCTATCTAGCCCAGTAGGTAGAACGCAAGGCTCTTATATCTTGTGGACGTGGTTTGAGCTCCACCGTGGGTGTTTGAGTTTGATATATGATTGATGACCCAACCAAGCAAATTTAATAACGTGGAAAATTTTTTTTCTTCACGTTGGTTGTGATGGGCTCTTGACTTTTAAGTTTATTTAAATTTTATTTTTAAAGTTTAAAATCGATTAAGTTTAAGATCCAATTCATGACATTTAGTATTAAAAAAAACTTAGATCTTCATTGATTTAAGATCCTCAAAAAAAATATAAAAGTCGAGGTAGATTTGGATTAGTGTAAGAGTTTCTTTCTTTTACAGGTAAAGAAACAGTGTAATGAGGACATTGTATAATTGGATAAGTAGAATATCACGGATCATACATTAATAAAAGATAAGGTGGGTCTTGGATATATAAATACGATTTTTTCGCCACTTATCAAGCATGACTTTAGAGTTGGGAAATTATCCTTGTGATTTATCGGTTGCATGAGGATGGATTCATGTTCCAACCTGTGACATTAGTAACTCAGCTAAACAAATTTAATAATGTGAAAAATCCTTTTTCTTCAGGAATATGATTATAAATCTTTTAAGATTCTTTTGATATTATTATCAATTTTTTTAATATATATAGAAGACATGCATAAACATGGATAACCATTTCAAATGTGTTAAAAGTCTTTTTTTTTATATCATTATCAATTTTTTTAAAATATAGAAAACACTTTTTAAAAAAAAACAACTAAGTAAGCATTGACTAGATTTTGTCTCAAAGGTGAAGATTTACATCAAATTAATTTAAGCAACAACTAATAAGCATCATCAAGCAAAAAGAAAAAAAAAAGAAAAAATAATTAAATCTCTAACTTTTACTCATAATTCTACGTGAGTTCACTAATTTTTGAAATGAATAATCCACTCAAAAAATATAAACACTGTTAACAAAATATGAAAAAGACTAAAATGCTATTTTTTTTCTTTCAAACAATATGACCAGTCTGCGATGCTCCCATTTGTCGGTTGACCACCCCACGAAAAGTGCTCCCCAAGGGAAGGGAGCATCAATTAGGTGTTTCCCAAGGGAAGGGAGCACCTTTGGGAGCATCCATCTGGTGCTCCCCTACCTTAAATTTTTTTTTTGCAAAAAAAATTATATAATAGTAAATTTTAAAATTAATAAAAGATAAACTTATCTCTTCAATATTGTCACATAATCAAATTAGCTTAAATACTAATAGTCGGCTAATGATTAGACTTACGTATTTACTAAAAAGATAATTTTTTGAGATGTAGTGTCTATTTCAAAAATTAATAGACTTGTCTGGAATTTCGATAAAAACTTAAAAGGCTCTAAGTATTTTACCCTAATAAACATTGAAATAGAACTTTGACCCTTTCCTTCTATTACTAAAGGTTTGACTCTAATTTTTATCAATTAAGTATTTCATAGAATTTTGAGTTAGAGAATAGTGGAATTCTGAGTTTCTTTTCAATAGGATACAAGCGATTTTTTGTGTGGCGCACACACTAGGCAATTACAGGACCTTCTTTCTTAAGGATAAATGAGCAATCGTCGGACCATTTAAAATTGTTGAGGTGACCTCAAGGGATAGAAAGTGTTCGTATGTCATAACCTTTAAGCTAGCTTTGGCAACAATTATATTAATATTCTTGACTTACTACCCATTCTTCTCTGATAGTGGCTATCCCAAAGTTGTTGGTGATGAAAACGCTTGAACATGTTTGTCATGACTCGTGCCCAAGTTAATTACTCTAAAACACATTGCCATTGATTTTCAATGACCTTACTTTCCTATTTTTTTAATATAGATAGTATGACAATTTTGCACTACTTTAATCCCTTTCTTCGATGTCTCTTAATTACTTTCAAAAAATGTTGTGAGATCCACAAATGAAAAACAAAGAGAAATGTTATCATTCTTCAATGAAAGTCTTTTTTAGTGTGAAAAGAGAGAATGTCAAGAATTCTAAATCAAAATTCAAACATTTTTCATTTGTTTTTAATTTGTTAAAGATATTGCCTGTTAGTCACCCTTATATTTTCCTACACCAAAGAAATAGAATAATGTACTACCTCGTAATGTGAACTGAGAAGGAGCCGAAAAATAATATTTTCCTTGCAAAATTGACCATTTTTAATAAATAATATTTTATGGTGAAGAGAACAATGAGCATATGGTATTCCTCCTTAGACAGAGACCTTGCTAGCATTCACTATTCTAGATTAATGTGAGCAATAAAGTTTCTAAGTTACATGTAACTACTAACTACTAACTATTAATTAAGATGTGCAATCTAAACTAAATAATAATTTAGGGTTGACTCTTAATTAGAAGACTTATGCAATCAAAGGATAGGACTTAAAGAAACAAGGTTGGCGCTTTTCTTTGTTGGATATGAGAGAACCTTGTTCATTACTCTCGGTTTGTACAAAGCTGCAACACCAAGAATTTTCGGATCTTGTTGTACTCAATAATCCAACTAAGCTGGTTCATTTCGCACTTTGAACCTCGGGCTCTCTCTCTAGGTTTGATCCTCCTCCTTGTCAGCATCAGTGGTATGTACTTCTATTCATATAACGGTTTTGATTTTCTTTACTTTTATCTTTAGCTAATTGCTTCACTTTTGATGAAATTAAGTTGCTTACATCTGACTTTAAGCTTTTTTTGGAGTAAATCTAAAGTTGGGGCTTAATAAGTGTCCCAAAACTAAAGTTTGAACGCTCTGTTAGACTTAATAAGGCTTAAATCTTGATTAATTCTGCTGCTATTGCTAACTGGTGAGATATATTGTCGTTTGTTTACATCAGAAGGAAGTTGCAAATATGGTAAACACTGACCAAGAAATTGATCCACTAATTGATGAAAATAACCACCAACCCCAAGATTTGGCAATTGAAATCACTGAAGAAGACTTTGAGCTTGCTCCTGAGTGTTGTATTTACAAGGTCCCTAGTTGTTTTCGTGAAGCAAACCAAAAAGCCTACACTTCGCAGTTGATTCCAATAGGGCCTATTCATCATGGTAACAAAATTTTGGCTCGAATGGAGAGGCAAAAGCAGAGATATTACAACAAATTTTGTCAAAGGACTTCCAAGAAGACATTGGAAGAATTTGCCAGCTTCATCAAAGCGCATGTAAGTGATATATGCAAGTGTTATGATGTCGAATTTGTCTTTGACACTAAGTTAAAGGTTTTCAACTTTGTGAAGATGATATTATTTGACTCAGTTTTTATCATCGAGTTGTTCTTGAGGAAGTCTGAAAATGAAGTCAAGGACTTCTTATTCAATAAGGTCTGGTTAAGAGTTGAACTTCTGATGGATTTGATATTACTTGAAAATCAACTCCCGTTCTTTATCCTTGAAGCTTCATATAACCTAGCTTTTGCTACATCTAATTAGCCTTCTTCTTTCCATCTTGCTTGTACTTAGAATTCAAGATAGATCAAACATTCAACAAAAAGGAGATTAAACACTTTATAGATTTAACTAGACGCATTCCAGTAAGCACTTGGCCCTTAAACTCTGATGAGAGCATCGACAACATGTACAGCGCAACAATATTGTATAAGGCTGGTGTCAAGTTTAAAGCTGCTGGAGATGACTTTGATCTAGATGACTTGCTTAGCATAAAATTTGAGAAAAGGGTGCTACAAATTCCATGTTTTTATGTGGACTACAAAATTGAGACTTGGTGTAGAAACCTGATGGCCTTCTGAGCAATGTCAATATCCAAAAGAGTCTTATTTTTGTAGTTATATTGTACTATTAAATTATTTTGTTGAAACTGATAAAGATGTGGTTTATTGGTAAAGGTAGGGATTTTGATTAATGGAATGAGAAGTACTGCAGCTGTGGCAAATATGATTAACAATCGCAGGACGGGAGTCGCATCACTTACTTCGGGCTATGACGAAATCGCAAAGGATTTGAACGAGTATTATGATAATTCGTGGAACCGTACAATGGCAACCTTGAAGCTTGTTGCTGCTTTCATTGTGGTTGTACTGACTCTCACACAAACTGTGTTGGCAATCTTGAAATGAGTAATGCTTACAAAATAAATATTCTTACTTGTTGTAGTATTCGTAAAAATAATTTTGGAATAATAATGGAATAGAAGATAAAAAGATAAAATACTTTTTATTACATATTATTATTTTTTATTTTATTTTTTAAATATTAATATTTTATTTATAATTTAAATGTTATTATGATTATTTATTTTTAATTTATTTTATTTAAAAATATTAATAATTTATAATTTAAATGTTATTATGATTATTTATTTTTAATTTAATTATTTAAAATTTAAAATATTAATATTTTATTTATAATTTTAATGTTATTGTGATTTAAATATTAATACTTTTAATTAATTTTTAAATTAAAATATAATTAATTAAACTTTTTATTATAATAAGATTTATTTTTTCTCAATTTTTAATTTACAATTTTTACTTAATAATTTAAAATTTTATATTTTAAAATATTAATATTTTATTTATAATGTAAATATTAATATAATTAAAATAATAAAATATTAATTTTATAAGCTTAAGTTTGTAATTTTTAAAAATAAGTAAAGATATATTGATTCAAAATGTTTTGGACTCTTTTCATGGGTGTTGAATAGCTAATACTTGGGAAAGGTGGTATTGGCTATTCCAAGGTTTGCCAAGTTTCAAGATCCTTCCTTCAAGAACAAATCAAACAAAGAGAAAATTTTTTGAAGAATAGAAGGTCATTTCCGCAACCAAACATGCCATACTAACTCTTAGTAAGATGATGACTCATTCTCTTTCTTTTCCCTTTTTATATTAAAAAGGCCACAACATTTTTTAATAAATTATTCTTTATTTCCTTTGTTCTAAATAAAGTATTAAAATAAATTCGTGAATTCATTAAATGTGTAATCTCTAACAATTAAAAAAGTTTTTCATGAAATGTTAAATTTAAAAAAAAAACAAGATCTCATATGGTTTTTCGAATTTCTATCTTTTAAGGAAAAAAATTCTATTGATTAAAATAAAAAAATAAAAAATGGACAGTTATCGGACGCGATTGACATCTTGACCGCTTAGATCCGAACTCACCTATTCAAGTTATATTTATTATTAAATATAAAAAAAATTAAATGCGATGCAGTGACAACTCGTCCCTCAAATTCAGTGAGAAAATCGACAACAAGAGCATGTACAACGCAACGATGTTCCATGACGCTGGTGTTAAGTTTAAAGTTGTAGATGGCGACTTGCTTAATGTAAAATTTGAGAAGGGAGTGCTACAGATCTCATATTTTCATGTGGCGAATGCAACTGAGACTATTTTTAGAAACTTGATGGTCTTCGAACGATGTCATTATCCAGGTGAAGCTTACTTTTGTAGTTATATTCAACTATTGAATTATCTTATTGACACTGATAAAGATGTGGATTAATTGGTAAAGGAAGAGATTTTTGACACTGGACCAAGTAGCAGTGCAGCTGTGGCAAATATGATTGACAATCTTAATACCATGAATAAGAAATAAAGCATTGACTCCAGTTCTACATTGAAAAAATCCAAAGGTAATCCTGCTTTTACTCCTCTGTTATACATGTTTACTCTGAAAGACTTGTTTTATGACCTTTCCGGATAGTTTTACAATTTTATTTCTCCTTAAAATTTGTGTGCCTGAAGTGCAAAGTTTTTGTCAAATACATGCTTGTTTGTAAATTTGTAGGGTTTGGTTTGTGAATGACATCTCAACGGCATCGCTGCAGTTTTATCAATATACATAATGCATCTTGGAATGACTTTACTCATTGATCTCCTCCAGGGTTAATGCCCATCTCAAGGGCACGGGTTAGCTCTAGTTTAACAGCAGGTTTGAGAATAGGCCGTGGCTTTTATTTTGATCCTCTTCCAACTT